CTTTTTAGAATATTATTTTGTTGAAGAAAATCAGAGTTAAAAGATCGTAGATTTCATGGTTTATGCTGACAGCCTGAAATGTTTATATACGACAGATATATTTTTCCAGGACTTAAATGCCCATAATTATGGTACATATAACACATGAGTGCGTATTATACACGAATAAATAAGTCTTGTGTACATTGATCAATCGTTTTTGGTCACTAGCCAATATAATAGCAAATATCGCCATGGGCGCTTATTAGAGAGGGGCGCTTATTACGTCGAATACGGTATATAGAATTGTGCAATGCCTTGCTTTTTGCAATTTCGAGATATATCACTGTTGTCAGCTTATGGGACCTGTGAGACACTTGGGCAACACATGAACAGATACCAATCAGAAGTCACCTGAAACACCATTTGTTAGGAGAATTTAAGAAGAAAATGTCTACCCATTTATGTCTACTATATGAGACAAGACTAGATAGACTTGATCCACAGTAGTCAAAATCTATTGAGTACCCAAAGCAAAGACATATATATATAACTATATATGAATTGAAAATATTGTACCTAATACATGCGAACTGTTATGAGTTTATTATACATCCTTCATAGCTTGGCTGGGGGGCACGGGTGGCCAAGTCGTATAAGGCGCTGCGATTCACTGTGCAGAGTTGCGTCCCTTGGGCACGCCAGAAACCTATGATTGTGGGTTTGAATCCCGGTTTGCCCCTATTATGTTTCTATGTTTGTCAGCACCATACCTGTGCTCGTGGGTTTCACAGAACTGGTAAACGTCTGAGAACTGCATCACTTCTGACTTTCCTCCCACATTAAGCTGACATGCCGGGATATAACTGGAATACTGTTAAAAGCGGCGTTAAACCCAACTCACTCACTCACTCACTCATAGCTTGGCTCAGAATTTTTCAGACACCCCTCGTATAGTGTCAATGTACTCCAACGGCATGAATCATTGCTAATGATATATATGAATATGAGCCATGTATACTGTGTATACATGTATGACTGAATAAATGAGGATCAAGTATGATTATTTTCTCTTTAATGGATGGCTTGTTTGAAAACAACAGCTCGTTCAGCTTAAATAGAGTTTTATGTAGCTAGATATGTCCATCTGGATCTCTGTTGAGAGTCTTAATGTGATATACCATATTCAAAGTTTCAAGTGACCAGGTAACGTAAAGATTTTCAAGGAGTGGTGATTATTAATGATTCCCTTTTTCTACTTCAATTACACAAGGTTACTATGTGACAATGATAAGAACTAAAGAAGCGAAGGACATCTCGAGGAGTTTTGTTAACACAGGTGCTGTATAGAGTTGCATCCCTTTGGCACACCAGAATCCTATGAGCATGAGTTTGGATCCCAAATTGGCCCTGGTTATGATTGTTTGTTTCTCAGCACCATTTAAAAATCTAAACATATAATTCCTGTGAGACTTCTGGCTTCCTTCCCACGTTAATCTGACATCATGTGATTCAAATACTGTTCAATGTGGTGTTAAACGAAACTGTCTAGTAGATATTTGTTGTCAGTACAAAGGGGCCTTGCTATATCGGGGTGCTTCAGTCCCATCATTAGTCACTAGTCCAAAGCTTGAGTCCAGTCAAATTTCTTTCGGACCATAAGCTTATTTATTACCTACGAGGGCAGTCATATGGTTCATATCACGTCAAGAGACAAGAGTGTATTGTTTCAGTCATCCGGACAGCATTATACACTTTAATCGAGGCTTCGGAATGACATCACGTTAGAAACGACGTCATAGGTGAATACTATAATAAACAGATACATTGTATAGATTTGTTTGTTATGAAGAGAATAATACATTTATGCCAATAGGAATTGCCCTTGGGTCCAGCCTTGCCTCTGGAAACTTAGATCCTGGATCATAAAATGGAAACGGTTCAGATCTTTATGCTACATTTGTATCCAGAGAAGTACACGTTCATGCTGTCAGATTTGCATCCACCCCTTTTAAATATTTACAGAGTCAAAATTACGAAATATTTGCAGTATTATATACATGTACAATGCAAATGTATATTTTGTCATGATTGCGTAAATATCCACTAACACTATCCATTCACTCACTACACACCATTACTCACTAACACCATCACTCACTACACACCATCACTCACAACACACCATTACTCACTACACACCATTACTCACTACACACCATTACTCATTACACACCATCACTCACTACACACAATCACTCACTACACACAATCACTCACTACACACCATCCCTCACTACACACCATTACTCACTACACACCATTACTCACTACACACCAATACTCACTACACACCATCACTCACTACACACCATCACTCACTACACACCATTCACTCACTACACACCATTACTCACTACACACCATCACTCACTACACACCATCACTCACTACACACCATTACTCACTACACACAATCACTCACTACACACAATCACTCACTACACACCATTACTCACTACACACAATCACTCACTACACACAATCACTCACTACACACAGTCACTCACTACACACCATTACTCACTACACACCAATACTCACTACACACAATCACTCACTACACACAATCACTCACTACACACAATCACTCACTACACACAGTCACTCACTACACACCATTACTCACTACACACCAATACTCACTACACACAATCACTCACTACACACCATTACTCACTACACACCAATACTCACTACACACCATCACTCACTACACACCATCACTCACTACACACCATTACTCACTACACACCAATACTCACTACACACCATCACTCACTACACACCATCACTCACTACACACCATCACTCACTACACACCATCACTCACTACACACCATCACTCACTAAACACCATCACTCACTACACACCATCACTCACCACACACCATCACTCACTACACACCATCACTCACTACACACCATTACTCACTACACACCATTCACTCATTCATTCATTTACTCACCCATTCACTCACTACACACCATTCACTCACTACACACCATTCACTCATTCATTCATTCACTCACCCATTCACTCACTACACACCATTCACACATCCATTCATTTACTCACCCTTTCACTCACTTGCTAACACACCATCCACTCAATCACCCACTTACACGTGACATGCAGACCCACTTCCATTCAGCTGGGTCCATGTTAGACCTGGTGATCCTGGATGATGCTCTGTTAGCGGTTGTTTGTGTCGGGCATGCTTGAACCCTTGTGCAGATGTGTTTTATATTGATTTGTTATAGGTTCATAACGTATTGATGTGGCCTGGCCAGGTTTTGTGGGCTGCTATATTGATCACAACTGTCCACCTTACTCACCTAGACGTGAAACAATCAAAATAAATTCATTCCAAAATTATGGTTTTCATGTTGAAGGCGCTTTAGTTAAGTACCGTATTTCCTCTATCAGGCGCCAGCCGGCCCATACACCCCAGCTTCTAAGTGATGCCAGGTCCTACTCTCTGACCAGAAATAGAAGCAAGGTCTTCAGATAACAGTGTACCATTTTATACTGTGATATGTTGGTGATTTATAATGGCCGTTACCTGCAAATGTACCCTTTGTATGACTAGATTTTGGTGATTTGGAAAGGTAGTCAGTTGCCACTGTGTCAGCATTAAAGAGAGTAGATGCCAGGTCTCTAAGAGACAGGTCATCTGCTTCAGGCAAGTTTATGGATGCCCGGTCGTCTAATAGAGGAGATACAGTATTTTGATTGCCACTATAAGACCAATGCTGACAATTACTGCACATGTGTTTATACTGTTTGTTTGTCAAGTTTAACAGACAAACAGGTCATTCATGTACTCTCAAGGCAAAAAGTTGGTGGTGACACTCTGTGGATAATTTCTCCATTCTATTATGAGAAGTACCTTGGGCCCTTCCACCACCTCGTTTTGGAAGTGACATCACCGTCTCCATCCCTCTTATAATTAATTTGGTGCAGAATTTCTCTTGCTTATTTGCTTGAAATCAACAACTGGACTTAAAAACAGAGCTATTTTGGCCAATGGATCCAGGGTATTAATCTCTAGCCAGTATATAGGCTGATCTTCGGCTTGGCTGTTTGTCTTCAAGAACTTGAGCATACTGTTGTGGTAATGTGATGAAAATCAAGTTCTAAACTTCTGTTTTTGCCTTTCCCCTTGAATTCCCAGTCTATTATCATGCTCCTTCCAATCTCCCTCTTCACAAATGTGTGGAGACAACAGCCAACACGAGTGTATTGCATTTACAAGCATTTTGGAGGCATCTATGTGGATGAATTTGAAGGAGACAAACCTGTGTTCAGTCAAGATACAGAATGAGTGTGTTTCCGAAGGTTTAGATGACTGGTAAATTGCAAGACACAACAAACGCTGAGATGGTTAAAACATTATTTAGTCTGGGGCAGTGGGGTAGCCTAGTGGTTAAAGTGTTGTTTCGCCAAAGATCCGGGTTTGATACCCCACATGGGTACAATGTGTGAAACCCCATTTCTAGTGTCTCTGACATTGCTGGACTATTGCTAAAAGCAGCGTAAAACTATACTTGCTCTTTGCTCACTTTCTCATTTGCACACTCGCGCACTCACACAGTAACACATTGTCCATTGTTTTTGTCCACTGTCATGATCTTGCTGCAAAGCATGTACGGTGAAACAACATTAAACCGAAAGTAATGGCCGTGAGAAATTGACTGGACTAAATTTCCGAATTAGCAAATCATGGTGGGAATTGTCACATATGTATGTGTAGAATTGCTCAACAGTATTCATCCCCAGAGGAAGAGTTTCTGGGATGTCTAACAGGGATTTCTGTCTTTCAAAATTGAACATGAAACCTACATCTCTATTTCACCGGGCTGCAGAGATGTAGAAGATAGAGATTGTGAACTGATACAGGTATAATGCTTGGCAGAATGCCGATGTGATTGTCTAAGACTCTCCCTTTTCTTGTCAGGAGGGGCCCGTCACTTCAGCACCTCCTCCGGTCGTCAACAGCAACAAGATGGTGACAAAGATGACAAGGACGATAAGGACAAGAAAAATGGTGAGATAGCCTAATTTAATCCCATCTTAAACAGTGCCTACATTCTTCCCATGTACACAGTGCCTACATTTTTTCCCGTATTACATAGTGCCTACATTCTTCCCATATCACACGGTGCCTACTTTGTCCCCTTATAACAGTACCTACTTTGTCCAGTATTACACAGTGCCTACTTTCTCCAGTATTACACAGTGCCTACTTTCTCAAGTACTACACGGTGCCTACTTTCTCAAGTACTACACAGTGCCTACTTTCTCCAGTACTACACAGTGCTACTTTCTCCAGTATTACACAGTGCCTACTTTCTCTAGTACTACACAGTGCCTACTTTCTCCAGTACTACACAGTGCTACTTTCTCCAGTATTACAAAGTGCCTACTTTCTCCAGTATTACACAGTGCCTACTTTCTCCAGTATTACACAGTGCCTACTTTCTCCAGTATTACACAGTGCCTACTTTCTCCAGTATTACACAGTGCCTACTTTCTCCACATATAACACTGTACAAACTCTCGGTTCACCTGTATTTAGATAGGATTCAAGCATGATGCAGCTGTATCTATCTCTCAATGATCAATCACTTCTTCTAAACTGGTAATTGTCTTGTGACAGGTCCCCAGCTCTTGGCATGCAGAAATTCATAGATGAATGTCCTTACCCAGACAAAACATGGCTACTGTACACCCTCCCCTGAACGGTAATCTGTTAGAGGTGGCATTGATGCAACATTCAGCGTCTCTCATAACATAACAATGATAATACTATCTTCGGAAATGAGCCTTCATTACAAAGCTTGGTTAAAGTAATTTATTATGGGCTTTCAAATTAATCATATTTCATATGTTCTCTCACATCAAGCAGAGCTCCAGATAAGCTGCGTATCTGCGTAAAATACGCATCGGAAATGCAGAAATACGCAGTAAAATAAAATTCAACGAACAATACAGATACGCTACAAAAATAAAACTTGTACGTATCATCAAAATATTGTGAAGTAACCCTGCGTATTAGATTAGCATTCTGTCAACCTTGCCAAACTCCACGATGAAAGTTACATCATGATCATTTGCCATCACACTTCCTTGTTGAAGTATCGTGGTATTTTTGAGTCCTATAAAGCTCTCGAACCCACACAACACCAGTTTGCAGGGACTTGATGAATAGTGTTTTTAAATATTTAACTTAAATACCCACATGTGTAAAAACTAGTGGGTAACAGAAATTTGAATACCCAGATAAAATTACTGATACCCAATGATTTTGAAATGCATGGGTAAAATACCCACAACGCCAAAAGCTTATCTGGAGCTCTGTCAAGTCGGGTCAGCAGAAAAGCCTCCTTGTGAAAGAGTAGAAAGCTGGTGTACTGGCTGGTGGAACAATTTCCATTTTACTCTTGGTGATAAAGGTGGACATTGTCACTTTAATGGGAAAGTCCAGCACAGCACACATGAACTCACAGTGTGAATACTCCATGCTAATAGAAACATGTTTGCATTAGGATTCTTGTACGTTAAAGAGTAGGGCCATGGCAGATCGATGCATGCTCTGATGTTATGCTTGTTGGTGTCAATGATGGGGAATTAACACGCCAGATTGTTAAATTACCACACCTTTTGTGGCTGTTGATGGAAGGTGTCCACTTGTCAAGGGATTACACTGTTATTGGCAAGGGGAACATGAAACTAGGATTGCACTGGCTTTTTAGACAAGTCAACCGACAATAACAACACTATTGTTGTCAGTAAGCACTCATGACAAGGACGGCACTATTATTGACAGTAGACAGACCTGACAAAGACAGCACTATTGTTGTCAGTAGACAGACCTGACAAAGACAACATTATTGTTGTCAGTAGACACACCTGACAAGGACAACACTATTGTCAGTAGACACACCTGACAAAGACAGCACTATTGTTGTCAGTAGACAGACCTGACAAAGACAACATTATTGTTGTCAGTAGACACACCTGACAAGGACGACACTATTGTCAGTAGACACACCTGACAAAGACGGCACTATTGTTGTCAGTAGACAGACCTGACAAAGACAACATTATTGTTGTCAGTAGACACACCTGACAAGGACGACACTATTGTCAGTAGACACACTTGACAAGGACGACACTATTGTTGTCAGTAGACAGACCTGACAAGGACGACACTATTGTCAGTAGACACACCTGACAAGGACAACACTATTGTCAGTAGACACACCTGACAAGGACAACACTATTGTCAGTAGGCAGACCTGACAAGGACGACACTATTGTCAGTAGACACACCTGACAAGGACGACACTATTGTCAGTAGACACACCTGACAAGGACAACACTATTGTCAGTAGACACATCTGACAAGGACAACACTATTGTCAGTAGGCACACCTGACAAGGACGACACTATTGTCAGTAGGCACACCTGACAAGGACAACACTATTGTCAGTAGGCAGACCTGACAAGGACGACACTATTGTCAGGCACACCTGACAAGGACAACACTATTGTCAGTAGGCACACCTGACAAGGACGACACTATTGTCAGTAGACACATCTGACAAGGACAACACTACTGTCAGTAGACACATCTGACAAGGACAACACTACTGTCAGTAGGCCGACTTGACCTGTATGACATTGTTTTTGTAAAATCATATGAGATCAGCCTAAGTGTCACAGAAATATCAGATGTGGTTATTAACTTCATAACATTGGTAACAAACAAATTTACTTTGCACCTTCACTTCATGAACAATTCTTCCAATGTCTCAACTTTCATTCTGTTAAAAGTAAACAATATAAAGAGAATTACATGTAATGTTAACAGTTGGACAAACCTTGATTTTGAAAAATGACTATTCCCCAATAAGTTTTCACTGGCACCTTAACACCAATCTCAACGAATGTTGCAAATACAAATAAAATTACGCAAGGGACAGATACATTCTGCAGGTAACTGTTCATATGACCAAAGACCTGATCAGTGTGGGTTTATGTTGTTTTTTGTTACTTTTGTTGTTGTTCAATGCCGCACTCAGCAATATTCCAGCTGTATGACGGTAGTCTGAAATAATCGAGCCTGGACTAGACAATCCAGTGACTGACATCATGAGCATTGATCTAAACAACTGGGGTACAAAGACATGCATCAACCGAGTCAGCAAGCCTGATAGACGAAAAGCATGGGTTGCTGAAGACCAATTCTAACCTATGTGGTTGCTGTAACATGGCAGAATAGGGTAAAGCGTAAGAGCTGTCACTAAAGGAGAGCGGGTGGTCACAAGGTTTGACCTGGCTGACTGTGTACCACCTGATTGTTTGTCATGATGCCATATTGTTGTTCATGCTGCCCGCCACAGGTGTACTTGAATAGATTGGATTTACAAGTTACATGTAGGTGGAATGTTGCGAACTGCAGCAATGTATAACCTGCATTCACTCACTGACTTGTCCTAGGGACTAGTACAGATTCTGTTACTGGTATACCTGCTCCTGGAAATTTTATGATAATAATTATGCATTCAATTTACTCGAGTGTCTGTGAACAATTTGTCAAATTTGTCTAAATATTGCTATGTTTACTCACTGTCCGAAACGGGGCGGTCGGGTAGCCTGGTGGTTAAAGCGTTCGCTCGTCACGCCGAAGACCCGGGTTCGATTCCCGACATGGGTACAATGTGTGAAGCCAATTTCTGGTGTTCCCCTGCCGTGATATTGCTGGAATATTGCTAAAAGCGGCGTAAAACCATACTCACTCACTCACTCACTGTCCGAAACAACTGCCTGCCCATGGCTGGTAACTTGTCTGTGGGGCTGCATGAAATTTTCCTCCACTTTCCTGACTCTCTTGCAAATCATTTTAAGAATACTTACGTATTCAGTTATATCATAACTCCTTGTAGATTCTCAAATAATTGTTTGCATTATTTAAAATGAATCAAGACGCGATTTGTTCTCTTATTTTTCTCTCTTGATTTTGCAATATCATAATGTCTGAATGTGGGCAGTAACTTTGAAGGTGGGCAGGCAATATTTATGGGTCACCTGCCTGACTGTCTCGTTGGGATTTTGTTGTTTTAAACACTGGTTCTACTTGCAGAGAAAGATAAGCTTCCCCCTCTGCCACGGCTCCTGATCTGGTTCTGGCTTGCAGTGACGGTGTACACTGCAATGCGTATGACGCAGGAACAAGACACCAACTACTACAGATACATCTCCTGGAACGAGTTCTACCATGACATGCTTGCCAAAGGGGAGGTAACTCCAATTTCTGGCTTATATTGTTACGAGTAATTTCACTGGGATGGCACTCATTCACAGATTGGCAGAATAACACATATCAGAAAGGTGACATGCAGTGATATAACTTGTGACAGTGATTCATGATAAATTTTCATGTATTGATAGCAACCTCACTAACACAAACATGTTGTTTTGTAATAATGAACATCAGAATACTAAGTCCACTATTGAACCTTGTGTACAGAATACTAAGTCCACTATTGAACCTTGTGTACAGAATACTAAGTCCGCTATTGAACCGTGTGTACAGAATACTAAGTCCGCTATTGAACCTTGTGTACAAAATACTAAGTCCGCTATTGAACCGTGTGTACAGAATACTAAGTCCACTATTGAACCTGACATGGCTTTGTGTATAGAATACTAAGTCCACTATTGAACCTTGTGTACAGAATACTAAGTCCACTATTGAACCTTGTGTACAGAATACTAAGTCCACTATTGAACCTTGTGTACAGAATACTAAGTCCGCTATTGAACCGTGTGTACAGAATACTAAGTCCGCTATTGAACCTTGTGTACAGAATACTAAGTCCGCTATTGAACCGTGTGTACAGAATACTAAGTCCACTATTGAACCTTGTGTACAGAATACTAAGTCCACTATTGAACCTGACATGGCCTTGTGTATAGAATACTAAATCCACTATTGAACCTGACATGGCCTTGTGTACAGAATACTAAGTCCACTATTGAACCTTGTGTACAGAATACTAAATCCACTATTGAACCTGACATGGCCTTGTGTACAGAATACTAAGTCCACTATTGAACCTTGTGTACAGAATACTAAGTCCACTATTGAACCTGACATGGCCTTGTGTATAGAATACTAAGTCCACTATTGAACCTTGTGTACAGAATACTAAGTCCACTATTGAACCTGACATGGCCTTGTGTATAGAATACTAAATCCACTATTGAACCTGACATGGCCTTGTGTACAGAATACTAAGTCCACTATTGAACCTTGTGTACAGAATACTAAATCCACTATTGAACCTGACATGGCCTTGTGTACAGAATACTAAGTCCACTATTGAACCTTGTGTACAGAATACTAAGTCCACTATTGAACCTGACATGGCCTTGTGTACAGAATACTAAGTCCACTATTGAACCTTGTGTACAGAATACTAAGTCCACTATTGAACCTGACATGGCCTTGTGTATAGAATACTTAATCCACTATTGAACCTGACATGGCCTTGTGTACAGAATACTAATTCCACTACTGAACCTTGTGTACAGAATACTAAATCCACTATTGAACCTGACATGGCCTTGTGTACAGAATACTAAATCCACTATTGAACCTGACATGGCCTTGTGTACAGAATACTAAATCCACTATTGAACCTGACATGGCCTTGTGTACAGAATACTAAGTCCACTATTGAAACTTGTGTACAGAATACTAAGTCCACTACTGAACATTGTGTTCAGATTACAAGACCACTATTGAACCTGATGTGGCCTTGTGTATAGAATACTAAGTCCACTATTGAACCTGACATGGCCTTGTGTACAGAATACTAAGTCCACTATTGAACCTTGTGTACAGAATACTAAGTCCACTACTGAACATTGTGTTCAGATTACAAGACCACTATTGAACCTGATGTGGCCTTGTGTATAGAATACTAAGTCCACTATTGAACCTTGTGTTCAGATTACAAGACCACTATTGAACCTGATGTGGCCTTGTGTATAGAATACTAAGTCCACTATTGAACCTTGTGTTCAGATTACAAGACCACTATTGAACCTGATGTGGCCTTGTGTATAGAATACTAAGTCCACTATTGAACCTTGTGTTCAGATTACAAGACCACTATTGAACCTGATGTGGCCTTGTGTATAGAATACTAAGTCCACTATTGAACCGTGTGTACAGAATACTAAGTCCACTATTGAACCTTGTGTTCAGATTACAAAACCACTCTTGAACCTGATGTGGCCTTGTGTACAGAATACTTGGCCCTTGAACTGCAGCTTTGTTGAATATATTTGGTTTGTAAGACCAGATTTGTTTATTTTCTTGTTAAACAGACAAGGTTACCCTAAACATTGCAAATGGAGAAAAATATTTTAAAATTTCCTCTTTGATTGAAAATATCTTTTTACAAATGTATGGCCTTTTGTCTCAAGAGTTTATTTGAGGAAATGAACCTCAACTAAAACATGATTATGTTGTTATTTATCTTCTTCTCCTGCCTGTTGGCATATGGAAATAAGAAATTAAATAACTCTTGCATAAGGCAATCATTATCTAGATCTGCCTTCATTATCGCCAAAATTATTAAATTTTTATTCCATATGTTGATCAAATCAGCAGATAACCTATTTCCTGAACACCTTAGCGCCATCCTCTGCCATAGTTAGACGCAAACCGATCTGTCATTTACACTGACAGGTCGTAACTCTTCAGGGGTAACAAACACTACATCATCTCTAGAACAAAACAAATTACAAACTGGATACACCAGATCCAAGATTAATGCTACTTCACTTTCTCCACCAATTCATCAGCACCCAGATGCTGGAGGTAATTATAGGTTATAAGCTGTTGCACCTCCTGACTGCATATGGTTGGTCAGTGGATATTAATATCTGTGGTTATAGATGCCTGTGGCAGGTGATGTGGTATAAGGGGTCAATATTGCCTGGTAATATTCTCTCTGGCTCTGTCTGTAATTAATGGAGAATAGAGTAGCTTAGGCTCCCTGGTTTCAACATTGATGTTTGATTGTGATGAAGCTGTGGTCCATTAGTCAAGGTGGCATTCTGGGGGTGGTCAGGTTGTTCACGAGGCCGCGGTGTCGGTGAAACGAGGAGGTTTTAGAATATGATGCCTCTTAGTTTTGTTTGTGTGCAGAAAGATATTCCCAATACCTGTTAAAATAATCAATATGATATCATTTTCCTTTGTTTTTGTTTTTGTTTCATGTAGAAAACAAAATAAATCCAGTGTAATCTTATGTTATTAGCCTATTTTGGGGGGTTGTAAATAAAGAACAAACATTTCCAATTTTCTTTTTTATTAATAAATTATCATGATAAATACTAGCAATTATAGCCCTTCTGTGACAGTAAACAATCATTTCCAATATGGTAAATTAATGGAATAAAAACATTCATGCTGTGTGTGGGGCGGTCGGGTAGCATAGTGGTTAAAGTGTTCGCTCGTCACGCCGAAGACCTAGGTTCGATTCCCGACATGGGTACAATGTGTGAAGCCCATTTTTGGTGTCCCCCCGCCGTGATATTGTTGGAATATTGCTGAAAGCGGCGTAAAACCATACTCACTCACTCATGCTGTATGTAGGAAGCACATTTTGCAGACTGTTCTCATGTACACGTGACCCACGACCCAATAACCCGGAAACACCACCTTCTGGAGTATTACTGTTAGGCCCTTTGGGATTCTGGGTAGGAATAGATCTCCAGGAACCTATACTGGTCATCAAAGGCAACAATGTATTAGGGCTCAGGCTCTGTGAGTTGCGTCCCTTGGGCACGCCAGAAATCTATGATTGTGGGTTCAAATTCCGGTTAACCCTGATTATGTTTCTGGGTTTGTCAGCACCATACCTGTGCTCGTGGGTTTGACTGAAGTGGTAAACATCTAAGATCTGCATCACTTCGGGCTTTCCTCCCACATCAAGATGACACGCTGCGATATAACTGGAATACAGTTAAAAGCGGCGTTAAACCCAACTCACTCACTCACTCAGGCTCTGTGACTTGTTCATTGCATGTCATCGTGCCCGGACGGCATTGATCTTTGCTCATACTATCAATCATTCGATGCCTGTTCCATCTCGACTATTTACAGGATGCTGTCATATGAGTGGGACATTGTTGAACAATTGCTGAGTGCGGCATTAACCAATAAACAAACCAGTTTCTGTTGGGAACACTTTCATTACTAATGTCAATTTCATGATTCGTTGATCTGGACAATGGAACTCGATTTAAGATTTAAACAGAGTCACCTAACCACAAGAGAAGATTTAGTAAGGAACTTGTTTTTATATTGGAAAAAAGATATAGTTTGATAATCAATTTGCTTTTATGATAACAAACATCATCAGTAGTTAACATCTACGATATTCACCACTAGGGGCTTCTCTCCCATACTTAGCCGACAGGCTGTGATATAACTGGAATATTGTTCAGGAAAGTATTAGCTGTTCTCACTCAGTAGAAATATTCTGAAAGAGAGCTTTCATGTTTGCTCTGCATTATACACAAAGTTTGCAGTGTTTGTGTGTGGAGATTTATCATGAATATCTGGAACCCCCGACTGAGCTTTACCATTGTGCTTTTGAGACCTGTTCTCATCCATAACAGTGTACAGGAATCGCAGCCTTTCTGATGAATCGGTCACATGTTTCAATATCATATGGATAAATATCAAAGTTTAAATTTGATGCTTGATATTGCATTAATTTTTTTTTCCGATTTGCTTTGATGTATAAGGATTTTTCTTGTGGAATTACCAGTCCTACTTACGGGTCATATTTCAGCTGTTTGTGTTAAATGTCATAGCATTGGCGAGGGGAGGTTTGTGAGGAGTACTGGTATGATTTATTGACTGCTGATAGCACTAGCTGAGTACGGGTATTGTTGGGCTAATGTCAATTAACTCTTGTCATCCATCTTGCCAGCTTGCTGATGTGTCAAACAGGTTCTTTGCCCAAAACAACTGTGGTAATTTTATTTTATGAATGTGATACCTATTAAAGGCATTGTCTATTGGTCGAAAAACTTCCAGTTTTTTATATATTTTAATAGTTGTATGAGTTTTGTGAGAGTGTCAGGTTTAGGGTTAATGCATGTTTAAGGGCATTGTCAGATGCTTGAATTCCGCCATTGTCTGCTGCATTACATGGAAACGCTGTTGACCATACTTTAGTTTTTTTGCAGTGAAGGAGTAATATTTTGCTTTTGTTTGTTTTCCACAATTCCGGATATTTATTTGGTCTAGAAAAGGTCACAAAGATCATTAAAATCTCAAAATGTGTGTTAAATGAAGACTCATTGAATTTGCAATAATATGGAAGCTTTTACAAAGAAGATTGAGCACTTTAGACATCTAATTTTGAATAAATGCAGTCATGGATATAAACCAAGAAACTTTGTAACTGACTCGTCGGTTAGGTAGAATTTATGATTTATGTGTCCTTTGACAAGTCAAAATCATTAGACATGAAAAGTAAAAATTGCAAAAAATGATGATATTTCACCGTCAGTGTTTGCCATCATTTTATTGACAAATTTCTTTCATGGCCCAGTCAAGAATGGTTAGTTGTGAAGTATCACTTAAGAAGTTTAAATGGACAATTTTGTCCTATTGAATTGAACTTGCTTAAACATTCTGGACAAGTGTTTCTTTTGACTGAATATTGGGACAGTTCATTGGTATCTTGTGGAGAAGTATTGGGTAAGAAGTATTTTGGTGGAGACATTGTCTAACACTATGCGTTAATAGTTATTTGGTTAAAAGTTATCAATTTTGGGATTCCAAGATTAAAATACCATTAAAGAAAACTTCAAACCCCCTTATTTTCAAACACTGTAGAAAGATTATAACATGGATTTATCTAGACATGCTCAGAGGCTAATATTCAGCTCCAAGTCTATGGCCATAACAGATTAACTATCGTATTTGAAAAAATTGGGTATTTTTTAACTTCTTTTGAGTATAATAAGCCACATTACAACAAAGGTGAGGACTAGAATTATATCAGACCATAAATATTTCCCTTTTAATAATCAATGGTGGGTAAACGAAACCGGAAACTGTGAGTTTGAAAAGACTACTGGTGAGAGTACACCACTTGATATGTTTGATGAGCTTGACCCTGGTCAGTTATTGAAAAACAGTTGAGGCCATATGGTCCACTTCAGAATCTCACATTCCCTGGATATCTTGAAGTTTGGGGTAAATCCTGCTGGCTCAGGCTGTCCTTTATCCTGGGAAGTCAGGTTAAGAGTTCTTGGAAATTCAGTGCTGATGACCAGGTTAATATTGTAACAGCCTGGTGAGTAAAGGGCACTCTTAAGTGGGAGGATAGGGTGAACCAGTCATCTAAGGTGCTGCAAGTCCCTTGGGCACTCCAGAAACCCATGATCGGCATTAAACCCAACTCACTCACTCACTTAGACGACCTGTGAAGATCCGGCAAGAGAATAGGTCTTCAGTAACCCATGATTGCCATAAGAGCCAACTATACTTGTCGTAAGAGGCAACTAACGGGACTGGGTGGTCAGGCTTGTTGACTTGGTTGATGCATGTCATCATATCCCACTTGCATAGATCGATGCTCATGATGTCAATCAATGGATTGACTGGTCCAGACTCTATAATTTACAGACCGCAGTCATATAGCTGGGATATTGCTGAGTGCAGCGTTAAACAACAATCAAATTAACAAACTCACTTAGAAATCATATTTTAAAACAAAACCTCAATATTAATGTGTATATTTATGTGCAAGCATGCACTGCTATGCAAGTGCAATAATTTTTCCCATTTCATCTCACTATCAGACCAGACAGTCCCCCTTTAAAGCGGGGCACTTCTTTAAGTGCTCCCATAAACAGATAAAGAATCACGTTTAGTTATCCCTTGGGGGATTCATTAGCATGGGGAACAACATTGAGATTGAGGGCAGTGTTGTGAAAATAATTGCACTAGTGTTTAGAGTAAAAGTGATGAAGACTGGCTGGGGGGAAGATGGTATTAGGCCTAAAAAGTGCAGCAGTCTTCAAAACATGGACTTCTGTTCTAAATGTGGTTGTAGGGAAGAATCTTTTTTCTCATAGCTTTTAGGAAAGTGTCTGCTTATGGCAGCAGAACATTGAATTAAAAGAATTTAGTTAGAACAAACAATAGTGTTGTTAAAGTGATTTTTTTACATTTTGTTGGACAGAAGCTACATCATACTGACATTCTTGTGAGAGACAGAAATCGGATTTAGTCTTCTAAACTTGACCTTTGATTTTGAAAAATTCTTCAATGACAGAACAGGGAATTATCTTGCAACAATTGATTGACGTTTTTTATCGGGGATTCTAAAACCTTGGCAGGCAAATTAATTATAAAGCAATATCTTGTTCTTACTTTCTTAATTTCAGTTATTTCTACAATATATTAATGTAAGACTAAGTATTGATGATAGCCTCTGCCCTGTTGCAACTAGGTTGATGAGATCAAGTTTTGAGGACAGGCTCTCTCTGTTGCAACTAGGTTGATGAGATCAAGTATTGAGGACAGCCTCTCTCTGTTGCAACTAGGTTGATGAGATCAAGTATTGAGGATAGCCTCTGTCTGTTGCAAGTAGGGGGATGAGATCAAGTATTGAGGACTGGCTCTCTCTGTTGCAACTAGGTTGATGAGATCAAGTGTTGAGGATAGCCTCTGTCTGTTGCAACTAGGGGGATGAGATCAAGTATTGAGGATAGCCTCTGTCTGTTGCAACTAGGTTGATGAGTTCAGGTATTGAGGATAGCCTCTGTCTGTTGCAACTAGGGGGATGAGATCAAGTATTGAGGATAGCCTCTGTCTGTTGCAACTAGGTTGATGAGATCAAGTATTGAGGATAGCCTCTGTCTGTTGCAACTAGGTTGATGAGATCAAGTTTTGAGGACAGGCTCTCTCTGTTGCAACTAGGTTGATGAGATCAAGTATTGAGGATAGCCTCTCTCTGTTGCAACTAGGTTGAAGAGATCAAGTTTTGAGGACAGGCTCTCTCTGTTGCAACTAGGTTGATGAGATCAAGTATTGAGGACAGCCTCTCTCTGTTGCAACTAGGTTGATGAGATCAAGTATTGAGGATAGCCTCTGTCTGTTGCAAGTAGGGGGATGAGATCAAGTATTGAGGATAGCCTCTGTCTGTTGCAACTAGGTTGATGAGTTCAGGTATTGAGGATAGCCTCTGTCTGTTGCAACTAGGTTGATGAGATCAGGTATTGAGGATAGCCTCTTGTCTGTTGCAACTAGGGGGATGAGATCAAGTATTGAGGATAGCCTCTGTCTGTTGCAACTAGGTTGATGAGATCAAGTATTGAGGACAGGCTCTCTCTGTTGCAACTAGGTTGATGAGATCAAGTGTTGAGGATAGCCTCTGTCTGTTGCAACTAGGGGGATGAGATCAAGTATTGAGGACTGGCTCTCTCTGTTGCAACTAGGTTGATGAGATCAAGTGTTGAGGATAGCCTCTGTCTGTTGCAACTAGGTTGATGAGATCAAGTATTGAGGACTGGCTCTCTCTGTTGCAACTAGGTTGATGAGATCAAGTATTGAGGACTGGCTCTCTCTGTTGCAACTAGGTTGATGAGATCAAGTGTTGAGGATAGCCTCTGTCTGTTGCAACTAGGTTGATGAGATCAAGTATTGAGGATAGCCTCTGTCTGTTGCAACTAGGTTGATGAGATCAAGTATTGAGGACAGGCTCCCTTCTCTTGCAACTAGGTTGATGAGATCAAGTTTTGAGGACAGGCTCTCTCTGTTGCAACTAGGTTGATGAGATCAAGTATTGAGGATAGCCTCTGTCTGTTGCAACTAGGTTGATGAGTTCAGGTATTGAGGATAGCCTCTGTCTGTTGCAACTAGGTTGATGAGATCAGGTATTGAGGATAGCCTCTTGTCTGTTGCAACTAGGGGGATGAGATCAAGTGTTGAGGATAGCCTCTGTCTGTTGCAACTAGGTTGATGAGATCAAGTATTGAGGACTGGCTCTCTCTGTTGCAACTAGGTTGATGAGATCAAGTATTGAGGACTGGCTCTCTCTGTTGCAACTAGGTTGATGAGATCAAGTGTTGAGGATAGCCTCTGTCTGTTGCAACTAGGTTGATGAGATCAAGTATTGAGGATAGCCTCTGTCTGTTGCAACTAGGTTGATGAGATCAAGTATTGAGGACTGGCTCTCTCTGTTGCAACTAGGTTGATGAGATCAAATATTGAGGACAGGCTCTCTCTGTTGCAACTAGGGGGATGAGATCAAGTATTGAGGATAACCTCTGTCTGTTGCAACTAGCTTGATAAGATCAAGCATTGAGGATAGCCTCTTTCTTGGCTGACCAAAAATGCTGGGGGTCATTGAACAAGTAGAATGTGATTCATTTCAGCCAGTGTATCGTCTTGGATCGATACAGAAACAAATATATCATGTATTATATCATGGCATGAAAACTCACCAATATATCTTTTCACTAGGTCGATGAGATCAAGGTCAGCCCTGAGTCGGAGACATGCATCATTCAGTTGCATAAAGGGGCTGTCGTCAAGGGAAAGAAGGTCGGTTATTTTCAAGGGAGAAAGGGGGTTGTCCCCACTGATATTATGTCAATGTCAAGGTTCATACAGGCTTAATCTTATGATTAATATCATGTCTGGATTAAAAGAAATGAGGCTAATAAAGCAAAAGAAAAGCCTTGAAAGGGACCCTTGAAAGCCTTGAAAATGCTTTGAAATTTAGTATTCCATATGGGGGCACGGGTGGCCCAGTCGTCTAAGGCGCCGCAATTCGCTGTGCAGAGTTGCGTCCCTTGGGCACGACAGAAACCTATGATTGTGGGTTCGAATCCCGGTTCGCCCCAATTTTGTTTCTAGGTTTGTCAGCACCATACCCGTGCTCTTGGGTTTCACCGAAGTGGTAAACGTCTTAGACCTGCATCAGTTGGGGCTTTCCTCCCACATTAAGCTGACACGCTGTGATATAACTGGAATAATGTTAAAAGCGGTGTTAAACCCAACTCTCTCACTAGTATTCCATATCTGTGTGAACCTTGAAAATAATGCCATGGAATATTGCTATGGGCATATGTATGTTGCTGCAGTATCCATCCACTCACTTACTGCACTCTGTTCAAATTGAGACAGGGGCGACCAGGTAGCCTAGTGGTTAAAGCGTTCGCTCACCACGCTGAAGACCCATGTTCGATTCCCCACACGGGTACAATGTGTGAATCCCATTTCTGGTGTCCCCCGCCATGATATTGCTGGAATATAGCTAAAAGCGGCGTAAAACCATACTAATTCACTATTTTTGAATTTCATGTTTACAAGTGGGTTACTGTAAGTTTTCTTCTTTCCCGAATAAAACAGCTCATTCTCAGAAGTGTTGGCAGAATTGCCCATATCCAGAGCATCTGTAGAAATTAAGTCAATTCTTCCAACATAGACATGAAACGTGTTGTTTCAGAGTGAGTTCATGTACTATACCATGAAGGTGCCCGACCCCTACAAGTTTGAGGAGAAGGTGAGGAGGGCCGAGGCTGAGCTTGGCATCAAACCTGAGCAAGGTGTGCCCATCTCCTATGACAGGAAGAGGTAAATCACCGTCACATTATAACTTGTATATAGCTTTCTCTCATGCTTGCACAGCTTCAGCTTTCAAAATACTTTGAACTTTGAAAAATAAAATCTGGATAAAAACCATTTAAAATACCTCAGTTTTGGTAGTTTATATTGTTGCGGGTTGTTTGTTGTTGTTTAACGCCGCACTCAGCAACATTCCAGCCATATGACGACAGTCTGTAAATAATCGAGTCTGGACCAGACAATCCAGTGACTGACACAATCTATCTACACAATTGGGATACGATGATATGCATCAGCCAAGTCAACGAACTTAACCACCTGATCCCGTTAGTTGCCTCTTACGACAAGCATGGGTTTCTGAAGACCAATTCTATCCCGGAATCTTCACGTGTCTTATGTTGTTGTGAAAATGCACAAACCTATGATCCTGTGTTCAGATGACGTTTGAGGCTGATGATGTTTGTAGACTCATATCTGTGCTTGTGGGTGTCACCGAAGTGTCAGACATCTAAGACCTGTATCATGGTGGGCTTTCCTCCCACAAGATGCCACGCCATGAAAAAACTGAGTACCTTTTAAAGCAGCATTAAACGAAACTCTATCAATCTCTTTGAATCCATTAGAGTAAAGTACGGTTATAACAACTCAAAGGGACTACTTATTTTAGTTCGTTATAACCGTAGTTCGTTATAAGCATATACACAGTATAACTACAGCAAATAGTCGGGACCAAAAAGTAAGTTCGTTATATCCGTCCGTTCATTATAAGCGTGTTCGTTATAAGCGTGTTCGTTATAACCGTAGTTTACTGTATCTTGATTTTTATTTGATTTCCTATTGTGTTGTTATCAAAGTGCCCTGCTGTGTGTTTCAGCTCATGGCTTGCCTTCATCTTCATGGCAGTGATTGGCTTGGCTCTCTTCCTGTTTCTGCGCAGCGTCACGAAGGTGTCGCTCCCGAACCCCTCCGACATGTTTGTAAGTACGCCTGCACTGACAGGGTAGTTTCTGTCATGTTTTCATTTGAGTTTTCACCTGTATGGAGTCTGATGCTGATCAGTGGGGGCGGTGGGGTAGCCTTGTGGTTAAAGCGTTCACTCGTCATGACGAAGGCCCGGGTTTGAATCTCCACATGGGTACTATGTGAGAGGCCCATTTCTTGTGTTCCCTCATCGTGATATTGCTGGAATATTGCAAAAAGCGGTGTAAAACCATGCTCACTCACTCACGCACTGTATCAGTGTTTTATTATTTTTGTGTGTTATCTGAAATTCAGGAAATTGCAATCCATTTGAATACAAGTGGGTGTTTCTTCTGCACAGTACAGTCCTGTTAAAACAGTCTTTTTAAAATGTTGTTATTTGAGAGTTGGGTGCTGGAATCAAATTATGTGCAGTTGTGATTTTCTCTCCAGGCCAATGAACGCAAGGCTAAGTTGTGATTTTCTCTCCAGGCCAATGAACGCAAGGCTAAGTTGTGATTTTCTCTCCAGGCCAATGAACGCAAGGCTAAGTTGTCATTTTCTCTCCAGGCCAATGAACGCAAGGCTAAGTTGTGATTTTCTCTCCAGGCCAATGAACGCAAGGCTAAGTTGTGATTTTCTCTCCAGGCCAATGAACGCAAGGCTAAGTTGTCATTTTCTCTCCAGGCCAAAGCAAGGCTAAGTTGTCATTTTCTCTCCAGGCCAATGAACGCAAGGCTAAGTTGTCATTTTCTCTCCAGGCCAATGAACGCAAGGCTAAGTTGTGATTTTCTCTCCAGGCCAATGAAAGCAAGGCTAAGTTGTGATTTTCTCTCCAGGCCAATGAAAGCAAGGTTAAGTTGTGATTTTCTCTCCAGGCCAATGAACGCAAGGCTAAGTTGTGATTTTCTCTCCAGGCCAATGAACGCAAGGCTAAGTTGTGATTTTCTCTCCAGGCCAATGAACACAAGGCTAAGTTGTGATTTTCTCTCCAGGCCAATGAACGCAAGGCTAAGTTGTGATTTTCTCTCCAGGCCAATGAACGCAAGGCTAAGTTGTGATTTTCTCTCCAGGCCAATGAAAGCAAGGCTAAGTTGTCATTTTCTCTCCAGGCCAATGAACGCAAGGCTAAGTTGTCATTTTCTCTCCAGGCCAATGAACGCAAGGCTAAGTTGTCATTTTCTCTCCAGGCCAATGAACGCAAAGCTAAGTTGTGATTTTCTCTCCAGGCCAATGAACGCAAGGCTAAGTTGTGATTTTCTCTCCAGGCCAATGAAAGCAAGGCTAAGTTGTGATTTTCTCTCCAGGCCAATGAACGCAAGGCTAAGTTGTGATTTTCTCTCCAGGCCAATGAAAGCAAGGCTAAGTTGTGATTTTCTCTCCAGGCCAATGAACGCAAGGCTAAGTTGTGATTTTCTCTCCAGGCCAATGAACGCAAGGCTAAGTTGTGATTTTCTCTCCAGGCCAATGAAAGCAAGGCTAAGTTGTGATTTTCTCTTCAGGCCAATGAACGCAAGGCTAAGTTGTGATTTTCTCTCCAGGCCAATGAACGCAAGGCTAAGTTGTGATTTTCTCTCCAGGCCAATGAACGCGAGGCTAAGTTGTGATTTTCTCTCCAGGCCAATGAACGCAAAGCTAAGTTGTGATTTTCTCTCCAGGCCAATGAACGCAAAGCTAAGTTGTGATTTTCTCTCCAGGCCAATGAACGCAAGGCTAAGTTGTCATTTTCTCTCCAGGCCAATGAACGCAAGGCTAAGTTGTGATTTTCTCTCCAGGCCAATGAACGCAAGGCTAAGTTGTGATTTTCTCTCCAGGCCAATGAAAGCAAGGCTAAGTTGTGATTTTCTCTCCAGGCCAATGAACGCAAGGCTAAGTTGTGATTTTCTCTCCAGGCCAATGAACGCAAAGCTAAGTTTTGATTTTCTCTCCAGGCCAATGAACGCAAGGCTAAGTTGTGATTTTCTCTTCAGGCCAATGAAAGCAAGGCTAAGTTGTGATTTTCTCTCCAGGCCAATGAACGCAAGGCTAAGTTGTCATTTTCTCTCCAGGCCAATGAACGCAAGGCTAAGTTGTCATTTTCTCTCCAGGCCAATGAACGCAAAGCTAAGTTGTGATTTTCTCTCCAGGCCAATGAACGCAAGGCTAAGTTGTGATTTTCTCTCCAGGCCAATGAAAGCAAGGCTAAGTTGTGATTTTCTCTCCAGGCCAATGAACGCAAGGCTAAGTTGTGATTTTCTCTCCAGGCCAATGAAAGCAAGGCTAAGTTGTGATTTTCTCTCCAGGCCAATGAAAGCAAGGCTAAGTTGTCATTTTCTCTCCAGGCCAATGAACGCAAGGCTAAGTTGTGATTTTCTCTCCAGGCCAATGAACGCAAGGCTAACTTGTGATTTTCTCTCCAGGCCAATGAACGCGAGGCTAAGTTGTGATTTTCTCTCCAGGCCAATGAGCGCAAGGCCAAGTTCGTGCGGGTGGATGTCATGTCTCAGCAGGGCAAGGGTATCAGCTTCAAGGACGTTGCAGGGTTGAAGGAGGCCAAGGTCGAGGTCATGGAGTTTGTGGATTATATGAAGACCCCCCAGAGATTTAAGGTAGGAGCCAGTCGTGAGCTCTACACAGGTGCTAGAACAGCTTGAAGCCTCAGTTACTGCAGTTGTGAGTGGGGTCCATTCGTGTATTCAAACCTCTTAGCGCTAAGATCAAGGTAAGATTGTATAATTGAAAAAAACAGGGAAAATTCTCCTTTTTTTTGCTGCAACCCCTTGAAAAATTACAACGTATAGGAAAACCTTTTAAAACACATTTGACATAAATCAGATTACTTCAGCCGAGGACCTCACATTCTCACTGACAGGCACAGTTGTTCCTTTCTATGGGCCCCAAACAGATTTCTGTCCAAGCATCATTTTGTACTTTACAAATGTTTGTCATTCTTTGAATGTATAAGGAAAGGGAAACGTAATCATAGTTTTGCAGTTCCACAAGTCCTTAGAACTTTAGCCTAGTCCCACAATACTGATACAGTAAACTACGTTTATAACGAACATGCTTATTACGAACTGACCCTGATGTGTGTCTGTTGTTGATTGCAGGAACTGGGGGCGAAGATTCCTCACGGAGCACTGTTGTTGGGTCCACCAGGTTGTGGCAAGACACTGCTGGCAAAAGCTGTGGCCACTGAAGCACGAGTCCCCTTCCTGGCCATGGCAGGATCTGAGTTCGTCGAGATGTTGGGAGGTCAGGGTCTTTTAATCTTGTTGGGAGGTCATTAAGTTAGAGTCTGTTTTGGAGGTGGTCACTTGGTCATGTTGAAAAGTCGGGATCACTAAGTCATGTTAAGAGGTCAGGGTCATTAAGTCATGTTAGGAGGTCAAGGTTACCAAGTTATTTTAAGAGGTCGGGGTCACCAAGTCATGTTAAAAGGTCAGGGTCACAAAGTCATGTTAAAAGGGCAAGGTCGCTAAGTTACGTTCAGAAGTCATGGCCAGCACAGTGTCAAGATGATATCATCAACAAATTTGATCTTTTGCCACACCCTGACCACACTATTAATATATATACTGTATTACTGGTTGCTGTAATAAAGTACTGATATTACCAACTACAACATAAAGTCACAACTGACTCATTTACTCCTTCCTACTTCAAAGACTTGTGTTTGAGCAGGTCTGGGAGCAGCGCGAGTGCGAGACTTGTTCAAGGAGGCCAGGAAACGGGCTCCGTGTATCATCTACATTGATGAGATCGACGCCATCGGGAGGAAGAGGAGCGGCAGGTAGCTTTTGGTGGACACAAAATCCATTATCAGAACAGAACAGAACTTCAAATTGTTATTGACATTCAAGTAAAGCAAGTATAATTGATGACACAATGATGCTCAGTTAGAACTGATTTATTGTTTAGTAGGCAGGTACTTTGTGCATTATCTGCTCACCTGAATAGTCACTCATTTCAACCAGTGATTAAGCTGTAATATTTGTCCAGTGTCGTTGTGCTGCACATATTTGTCTGTGCTAATTCAGAGAAGTCTTAGATGTGCTATGTCATATATGACATATTGCCCAGATCAACCTGGCTTCAGCTAGCAAAGCCTTTACAGTCTGTGATATAAAAATTAACCTCTACAGTGCTAGTCCCACTGCCTTATAATCTCCTGGCTCTTTTATTCTGCTGATACAAAGGCAACCTGGTCAGTGGAAGGGAGATAAATCTTGTTGAGCAGTTAATGCTGCAGAAATGTTGTCAAGGTTTATAGGCAGGTCATGAGTAGAGTCTCTCTGTGAGAATTTTAGACATATTGTTTTGACTCACGTCATCTCAGGCTGCAGTATAAAGATAGGGTTTTCAAACCCATCTTTTGGGAGATTCAGTGGATTGGTTGGTCTCAATGGATTTAGTGGATCGGGTGGTCATACCCAGGCATAGTGGATCTATGATTTCCATTATACTATCCTGTGTAATCCTAAGAGGACCGCCTCTGTGGTCTAGTGGTAGAGCACCGCCCGGAGAGCAGAAGGCTGAATCATACCAAAAGACATAAAAATGGTATTTGTTATTACCCTGCCTGGCGCTCGGCATTAAGGGGCTTAAGCAAGGAATGGTCGGCTCGGAGTCAGTACACTGTGTCTTAGTGGGGTATTCATGTTAAACTAAACTGGGCTAGTGCAATAAAATCGGCTGCCACACACACACACACATGCATGCACATTGCTCTTGAAGGCAACATTAAACACCATTTCACCATACCTCACTAAACTAAGAGCAAACTAGCTTCTGTTCTCAAACACCTTCACTTTTTTACAAAAAGCAATAAAATAACGTTTTATTTTTGCTTCATTATAAATAAGATTATGGAGCAAATTTTGTATTCAATCCAGCTTACATGTCCACTATGTAGACAAGTTGTTCGATTTTGTAGTCATGTATGCATGAACATGCCCAGTTGGCTTTCTGTGTCAGGTGGCACTGATCTGTGGTCAATATACCATGGAGATTTGTGTCCCTTACATGCCACGAACAGCATCTAATGGGCTCAAATGCCAGATTCTTGAATATCATTCTTGTCAGTCTCATGTGTTTCTCCACGGTGGTAAAATCTGCAACCTGTGTCTTTCATCCCACATTATGAAGGCATGTATGACAGTTTGCAGTGCGGGGCGATCAGGTAGCCTAGTGGTTTGCTCGTCATGCCGAAGACCTGGGTTTGATTCCCGACATGGATACAATGTATGAAGCCAATTTCTGGTGTCCCCCGGCGTGATATTGCTGGAATATTGCTAAAAGCTGCGTAAAACCATACTCACTCACTCACTCACTCACTCACTCACTCACTCACTCACTCACTCACTCACTCACACACTCACACTCACTCACTCACTCACTCACACACTCACTCACTCACTCACACACACACACACACACTCTCACTCACTCACTCACTCACTCACACTCACACACACTCTCACTCACTCACTCACTCACTCACTCAGTATGCAGCGCAGCACTGAAATACTGTTGTAAGCAGTGTTCAACCCCGCGGACTGACTGTTGCAGCTCCATGGGCGGCAGTGCAGAGGAGGAGCACACCCTCAACCAGCTGCTGGTGGACATGGACGGCATGGGCACCATGGAGGGCGTCATTGTCCTCGCCTCCACCAACAGAGCCGACATATTAGACAGGGTGAGTGGTGTACAGCAACATCTAGTAGCATCTCAGATCCATGTTGTGTCTTGTAGATCCATGTGGAGTCTCATAAATCCATGTAGAGTCTCACAGATCCATGTAGAGTCTCATAGATCCATGTATTGTCTCATAGACCTATGTTGTGTCTCATAGACCCATGTAGTGTCTCATAGACCCATGTAGTGTCTCATAGACCCATGTAGTGTCTCATAGACCCATGTAGAGTCTCATAGACCCATGTAGTCTCATAGACCCATGTAGTGTCTCATAGACCCATGTAGTGTCTCATAGACCCATGTAGCGTCTCATAGATCCATGTAGCTGAGTCCAGCTTCTCATAGATCCATGTAGCATCTCATAGATCCATGTAGTGTCTCATAGACCCATGTAGTGTCTCATAGACCCATGAAGCATCTCATAGATCCATGTAGAGTCTCATGGACCCATGTAGTGTCTCATAGATCCATGTAGAGTCTCATAGACCCATGTAGTGTCTCATAGACCCATGTAGTGTCTCATAGATCCATGTAGCTTCTCATAGATCCATGTAGCTGAGTCCAGCTTCTCATAGATCCATCCATGTAGCATCTCATAGATCCATGTAGTGTCTCATAGACCCATGTAGAGTCTCATTGATCCACGTTGCATCTCATAGATCCATTTAGCCGAGTCCAGCTTCTCATAGACCCATGTAGTGTCTCATAGACCCATGTAGTGTCTCATAGTTCCATGTACTGTCTCATAGACCCATGTAGTGTCTCATAGCCCCATGTAGAGTCTCATTGATCCACATTGCATCTTTTTGATCCACGTTGCATCTCATAGATCCATGTAGCGTCTCACAGATCCATGTAGAGTCTCATAGACCCATGTAGTGTCTCATAGACCCATGTAGTGTCTCATAGACCCATGTAGAGTCTCATAGACCCATGTAGCGTCTCATAGATCCATGTAGCTGAGTCCAGCTTCTCATAGATCCATGTAGCATCTCATAGATCCATGTAGTGTCTCATAGATCCATGTAGTGTCTCATAGACCCATGTAGTGTCTCATAGATCCATATGCTGAGTCCAGCTTCTCATAGACCCATGTAGTGTCACATAGACCCATGTAGTGTCTCATAGATCCATGTAACATCTCATAGATCCATGTAGCTGAGTCCAGCTTCTCATAGATCCATCCATGTAGCATCTCATAGATCCATGTGTCTCATAGACCCATGTAGAGTCTCATAGATCCACGTTGCATCTCATAGATCCATTTAGCCGAGTCCAGCTTCTCATAGACCCATGTAGTGTCTCATAGACCCATGTAGAGTCTCATAGACCCATGTAGCGTCTCATAGATCCATGTAGCTGAGTCCAGCTTCTCATAGATCCATGTAGCATCTCATAGATCCATGTAGTGTCTCATAGATCCATGCAGTGTCTCATAGACCCATGTAGTGTCTCATAGATCCATATGCTGAGTCCAGCTTCTCATAGACCCATGTAGTGTCACATAGACCCATGTAGTGTCTCATAGATCCATGTAACATCTCATAGATCCATGTAGCTGAGTCCAGCTTCTCATAGATCCATCCATGTAGCATCTCATAGATCCATGTGTCTCATAGACCCATGTAGAGTCTCATAGATCCACGTTGCATCTCATAGATCCATTTAGCCGAGTCCAGCTTCTCATAGACCCATGTAGTGTCTCATAGACCCATGTAGTGTCTCATAGACCCATGTAGAGTCTCATAGATCCACGTTGCATCTCATAGATCCATTTAGCCGAGTCCAGCTTCTCATAGACCCATGTAGTGTCTCATAGACCCATGTAGTGTCTCATAGACCCATGTAGCGTCTCATAGATCCATGTAGAGTCACGTAGCTATATAAGTGCAATAATCTTGGACGCGACGTTAAACCCAATTTCACCTCACCTCACCATGTAGAGTCTCATAGATCCATGTAGAGTCTCATAGATCTGTGTAGTGTCTCATAGATCCATGTAGAGTCTCATTGATCCTCGTTGCATCTCATTGATCCGCGTAGCATCTCATAGATCCATGTAGCATCTCATAGATCCATGTAGAGTCTCATAGATCCGTGTAGCATCTCATAGACCCATGTAGAGTCTCATTGATCCATGTAGCATCTCATAGATCCATGTAGAGTCTCATAGATCCGTGTAGCATCTCATAGACCCATGTAGAGTCTCATTGATCCATGTAGCATCTCATAGGTCCATGAAGCATCTCATAGATCCATGTAGCATCTCATAGATCCATGTAGAGTCTCATAGATCCGTGTAGCATCTCATAGACCCATGTAGAGTCTCATTGATCCATGTAGCATCTCATAGGTCCATGAAGCATCTCATAGATCCATGAAGCATCTCATAGATCCATGTAGCATCTCATAGATCCATGAAGCATCTCATAGATCCATGAAGCATCTCATGTAGCATCTCATAGATCCATGTAGCATCTCATAGATCCATGTAGCATCTCATAGATCCATGAAGCATCTCATAGATCCATGTAGCATCTCATTGATCCATGAAGCATCTCATAGATCCATGTAGAGTCTCATAGACCCATGTAGAGTCTCATAGATCCATGTAGTGTCTCATAGATCCATGTAGAGTCTCATAGATCCATGTAGCATCTCATAGATCCATGAAGCATCTCATAGATCCATGAAGCATCTCATAGATCCATGTAGAGTCTCATAGATCCATGTAGAGCCTCATAGATCCATGTAGCATCTCATAGATCCATGAAGCATCTCATAGATCTATGTAGCATCTCATAGATCCATGTAGCAATTCATAGATCCATGTAGCATGTCATTGATCCACGTTGCATCTCATAGATCCATGTAGAGTCTCATAGACCCATGTAGAGTCTCATAGATCCATGTAGTGTCTCATAGATCCTTGTAGAGTCTCATAGATCCGTTTAACATCTCATAGATCCGTGTAGTGTCTCATAGATCCATGTAGTGTCTCATAGATCCATGTAGAGTCTCATAGATCCGTGTAGCATCTCATAGAACCATGAAGCATCTCATAGATCCATGAAGCATCTCATAGATCCATGTAGCATCTCATAGACCCATGTAACATCTCATAGTTCCATGAAGCATCTCATAGATCCATGTAGCATCTCATAGATCCATGTAGAGTCTCATAGACCCATGTAGCATCTCATAGATCCATGTAGAGTCTCATAGACCCATGTAGAGTCTGTAGATATTATGGAATATTACTAAATGCAGAATAAAACAATGAATAAGAAAAAAAGGCGTCAAAGGCTTTTATCAAGGTAGCAAGAACAGTGGATGACACACAACAAACAAACACAAGATGAAAACAAGCTCCAGATAATGCTGCAGAATGGTGACTTTGTTCCATTGAATTTTGCAGGCTCTGCTGCGTCCTGGCCGATTTGACCGTCACATCATGATTGACCTCCCAACACTCGAAGAGAGACGGGAAACATTTGAGATGTATCTGAAGAAACTGAAACTGGCTGAACCTCCCTCAGTGTATGCTCCCAGACTCTCCCAGATGTCCCCAGGGATGAGTGGTGAGTGTATCATGTCAATACCCGTCTTCATAGGGTCTGGAGCGTTTGGAAAAATATTCTGATTATTACTATGTGTAATGTTAGTTCTCATGATGGGAAGATAGGGTTGGGGTGTGTCAAGTGAGTTGGCTGGGTATGGCTTTTGGGTAGACTTGGGTGGGTGTGCTGGGTGGGTGGTGGCTCTGGGAGGACCATGGTTTGACTGGGTATGTGCAGGTTGCTTTAGGTACTGTGAGGTGGGGTGTCTACATCTTGTGATTTGTAACCAAATAAACATACAATGGTCCTCTGAATGTTAAGTGCTTTTGGGTTGGATGGGTGTTGTGGGAAATACCTTAGGGCCAATCCCATGACTTGGCAGGGTACGTCACACTTTATGTTGTGTGCTGTAGGGTTGGGTTGGGTGGGGTGGGGTGGGGTGGGATGGAAGTGTTGAGGAACATTTCCAGAGGTAAAATATACTATGCATAGAATTCAGAAGATCACATGTAAGACATGAAACTCTTCCATTTTGGTGCATAGCCATGTTATAACTTCCTATATTCATCATCATGTACCTTGTGTGAAGGAACAATCTCATTAACCTAAGATCTTAGTTCTTGCTACCGCTAAACAAAAGATCTGAAGACATCCCATTGCAGGTCACGTCAGAATGACCTTTCATGCAACCAATCAAGCGTCGCTTACAAGATCATGAAAGTGACAGTCGGAATGTGTTTTCTAATCATGCAACCTCGAAAAATTTAACAGGGGGTATTCTGAACGACCGTTATGGACTTAAAGACTGAATCCACACGATCTAGGCCATCTATTAGCCAGTCCAGAATGTTCTTTTGTTCAGTTTTACAAATTTTTAATCAAGAATTTGCCAAAATGTTTTGAAGCATAGTCTCCAGTTTGAAACTACTGCGGTAAAGCATGGGAAAGCTGCCTTCTGATTGGCTAATGTCGACTTCTTGTCAGTCATTCCATTGGTCGATCAAAGTTTGCAAAAGGTCAGTCTAATGTGACCCATAATTGGATGTCCTCAGATCTTTGACACTACTCTTCAAAACCAACTACTGTTGACATTTCTCAAAGACATGCTGTGCATTTCATTATGAATAATGTCACTGTATACATGCATGTATTATTATATGGTACTCAACTTTTGGTAAGGATGTTCTGAGTGCACAGTTTAGGGCTGAACAAGACCGATTGTTTGGAAGTGTTGCTATACAAATACATGTAGTATCTGATAAGGGTGTGAGGTATTTTTTATCATGTGTTTAATGTTATGTACTTGCCAAATGCCTTTGCTGCCCAGGAGCGAGCATCTGGGGCCCCAAGATGGCTGCGTATTTATTGAATGAGTAAACAGTATGTTGTACCAGCATCTTCTTTTGTACCATTTATGAACTTCAATTAACACCTTAGTGTATGAGATTGCTTCTGAATTAAACATTTATGATTATACAGTATATCGTGATAAATTTCGCAATACAGCCTTGTGCAATGCAAAATATTGTGATACACTTTAAACCTCCTTTACCCATCCCTAGTATCTGATATTGCAGGAGACCGATTGTTTGGAAATGTTGTTATACAAATAGTATCTGATGTTGCGATGGAACTGAATCATGTTTGACTTTATTTCACGTTCATTAAACAAGAGTATTTGATTCAATAATATTTTGTCCACTAGTTTTGTAAAAAAAGTCCAGTACCCGTATCAATTGTTGATTAGTATATTATTTTTATCCCCTGCCCAACAAATTTGGCGGGGGATATAGAAACAGGCTCCGTCCGTCCGTCCGTCCGTCTGTCCGTCACGTTTTCTTTTCCGGAGCATAACTCATAAACCGTTCAATGTTTTTTCATCAAACTTTGCAGGTCTGTCAAGTACATGCTGAACTGGTGCCTTTTGCTATTTAGAAATTTTAGAAAATTTTATTTTTTACGTTTCTATGGCAACAAGATGGACTTAGGTTCTGTGAGGGTATGGTTCGTTTCCGGAGCATAACTCATAAGCCGTTCAATATTTTTTCACCAAAATTGCAGGTTTGTCAGGTACATGCTGAACTGGTGCCTTTTGCTATTTAGAAATTTTAGAAATTTTTATTTTTTTATGTTTCCATGGCAGCAAGATGGACTTAGGTTCCAAACTCTTCTTTTTTTTTTACAATTTCCATGACAAGTTCCACCTCGGTTAAAAAAGGTTAGGGTTCGTTTAGATTTAATTATGTCATAAATTCTGCAACAGGGGCAGGGGATATAGCCACATTACTGGCAAACTCTTGTTATTATTAAAACAACTGACAAGCAAGATTGTGTGATGCCCCTTGACTGTAGTGTGTTGTTCCTGCAGGTGCCGACATCGCCAACATATGCAATGAGGCGGCCATCCATGCCGCCAGGGAGACCAAGAAGAAGGTTGATGCGTTGGACTTCGAGTACGCTGTGGAGAGAGTTGTGGCTGGTGCGTAGATAGATGTAGGGTGTGATGCAGGTGGGAGGGACATTGATAGAAATCAGCTGGCCCTGAACGATGTACTGTCAACTTTGTAATCAGTTACTTTGATAACCCAGTGGGGATTCTGTGGTTTGAATAGGTCCCCAGCGACCTTTATTGGTTGAAAGAGGTGATCAAATGGGTCAGGTGGTCAGACTCTGTGACTGTTCATTGCAGGTCCTCGTCCCCCAATGAGTGGATAGTTGCTCACAGTATCAATAACTGGATTGTCTAGTCCACCTTCATACATGTAGAGCTGGAATATTGCTGAGTGCGGCAGAGCTCCAGATAAGCTTTTGGTGTTGTGGGTATTTTACCCATGCATTTTAAAATCATTGGGTATCAGTAATTCTATCTGGGTATTCAAATTTCATCTAGTCCCTGCAAACTGGTGTCCAGTGGGTTCGAGAGCTTTATAGGACTCAAAAATACCACGATACTTCCACAAGAAAGTGTGATGGCAAATGATCATGATGTAACGGTCATCGTGGTGTTTGGCAAGGTTGATGGAATGCCTGTTTATAATTTCAAAATAAGTTGCTGATTTGCTAATCCAATACACAGGGTTACTTCACAATATTTTGATGATACGCACAAGTTTAATTTTTGGAGCGTATCTGTAATGTTCGTTGCATATTTGATACGCTTGGATTTTATTTTACTGCATATTTCTGCATTTCTGATGCGTATTTTACGCAGATACACAGCTTATCTGGAGCTCTGGTGCAGCATACAACAGGAATGAATTTGGTAATGCAGAGAAAGTTGAACAAAAAAAAAGGTGGCCTGTTGATTTCATGTGGAATAAAGCTAGCTGGAGCTGGGTAGACTTGCTTTTGGATAAATATGTAGATTTATTTTTTTTCCTAAAATATATATATTCCACAGTCATGGTGCAGGACTACCCTCTGAGCACCTAAGTGGCCTGTTGGACCAAGTGTGCCTGTTCCTCTGTTGTAGGTGTGGAGAAGAAGACCCGCCTTCTGTCCCCCACAGAGAAGAAGATCGTGGCCTACCATGAATCTGGTCATGCTCTGGTCGGCTGGCTTCTCAAGTACACAGATGCTCTGCTCAGGGTAGGTTGGTTACACAGACTCATCAAGTGAAAACGCTCTGTAAAAATCTTACTTGTTAACCTTTTGCGTACCTTGGGTCTGACGGCCTTAATCTGAAATAAGTCTGTCTGTCTGTCTGTCCAATGTTTATTACCAGAATATTGATGACTGTAACATTCATTCACTCACCCTTCTTACTTCATTTCGGGGGCACGGGTGGCCCAGTAGTCCTAAGGCGCCACAATTTGCTGTGCAGAGTTGAATCCCTTTGGGTATTCTAGAGACCCTGATTATGTTTCTAGGTTTGTCAGGACCATACCCACGCTCGTTCTTTTCCAAAAAGCGATATAACTAATCAGTTTGGGCTCTCCTCCTGCATCAAGCCCACACCATTATGTAACTGGAATATTGTTCCAAGTGGCGTTAACCAGACCCACTCACTCACTCACTATCACGCCGAAGACCAGGGTTCGATTCCCGACATGGGTACAATGTGTGAAGCCCATTTCTGGTGTCCCCCGCCGTGATATTGCTGGAATATTGCTAAAAATGGCGTAAAACCATACTCACTCACTCACTCACTCACTCACTCACTCACTCTCACACTCACTCACCCACTCACTCACCCACTCACTCACTCACTCACTCACTCACTCACTCACTCACTCACTCACTCACTCACTCACTCACTCACTCACTCACTCACTATTTCAGATATCCATTGTGCCAAGAACCAACAGTGCCTTAGGATTTGCTCAGTACATGCCCTCTGACCAGAAGCTGTATTCTTCTGATGAGGTGAGTTAAGGGGATGTCACTGAATAATTTTTACAAATAATCTCCATTTGAGGAAAAACATCAGGTTGTGATTCTAGAGCTGAATAAGCCCCTTGAACCTACCCTCTCTCAAGAGCTGACTATAATTTAGTACCTGTGGTCACAATTTGAGACCTTACTGCATGTATATCATGGTATCCAGATAGATGTTCATGCAGAAAACCCTGGTTTCTGACCCAGGTTTGAAGATTTATAGGTCACCATCACATAGCCAGAAGACCTGTGAAGATCCGGGGTAGAATAGGTCTTCAGCAACCCATGCTTGTCGTAAAAGGCGACTATGCTTGTCTAGAAGGCGACTGTGCTTGACGTAAAAGGAGACTAACGGGATCGGCTAGTCAGGCTCACTGACTTGGTTGATGCATGTCATTGTATCCCAATTGCGTGGATCGATGCTCATGATGTCAATCACTGGATTGTTTGGTCCAGACTCGATTATTTACACAGACCGCGGTCATATAGCTGGAATATTGCTGAGTGCAGCGTTAAACAACAAAAAACAAATACAGCCAGAATATTACCGACTGCAGCATAACATTTCACTCACTATGCCAGTGAAACAGATATTTAAAACTCTATTCTGATAACATATTGGCACAAATCATAAACATAAACTACAGCATTACATCTTTGGCACAAATATAGCTTTGATTTGCAGTTAAATAGATTTACATCATCATTTTATCTTTTAGTGTTCCGCCCAAAAGGAACATAACGTAAAATCCTGTTGTATATTATGGAATTTCAATGACGTTTACTCTTAAACGTTTTGGGATCTTATGTTAGGTTGTCACCTTAAGACGGTGTTCGTCAGTGGTTACTGTGCCTGTTTCAGCTGTTTGAGAGGATGTGTATGGCGCTGGGAGGTCGTGCAGCTGAGGCAATCATCTTCAACCACGTCACTACTGGTAAGGGGGACAACTCAATCATAAACTGATTGTGACTATCCATTGCTACACTGCAGTCAGCTCCATTACAAGGAAGTACGTACAAGGAAAACTTCATGACCCTAAGATTATTGATCATTGTTCCAGACAGTTTGAGTGACACTTTTAGACCATAGCTAGAAATACGATTCGGACAGTAGTTCCTTCCCTCAAAATGACATATCAAGTTGTTGGAGTTTATACATAATAACTGATTTTGGTTGGTATATTTTCTCAGGGGCTAAATAAGTCCCTCCACATTGACTTGTTTCTGTCTCAGGGGCTGAATAACATCCTACATTGATGTCTTGGGCTGAGTAACATCCTACATTGACTTGTTTCTGTCTCAAGGGCTGAATAACATCCTACATTGACTTGTTTCTGTCTCCGGGGCTGAATAACATCCTACATTGACTTGTTTCTGTCTCGGGCTGAGTATCATCCTACATTGACTTGTTTCTGTCTCCGGGACTGAATAACATCCTACATTGACTTGTTTCTGTCTCGGGCTGAGTATCATCCTACATTGACTTGTTTCTTTCTCGGGCTGAATAACATCCTACATTGACTAGTTTCTGTCTCGGGCTGAATAACATCCTACATTGACTTGTTTCTGTCTCGGGGGCTGACTAACATCCTACATTGACTTGTTTCTGTCTCGGGCTGACTAACATCCTACATTGACTTGTTTCTGTCTCCGGGGCTGAATAACATCCTACATTGACTTGTTTCTGTCTCAGGGGCTGAATAACATCCTACATTGACTTGTTTCTGTCTCAGGGGCTAAACGAGTCCCTCCACATTGACTTGTTTTTCAGGGGCTCATGATGACCTTCAGAAGGTGACCAAGATGGCGTTTGACCAGATCCGGTCGTACGGCATGAATGACAAGGTGGGGTACCTGTCCTTCCCCCCGGAGTCGACCGACGACCTCGGCACCAAGCCCTACAGCAAGAAGCTGTCAGCCATCATGGACGAGGTACGACGCATATCTTTTCTTTAGAGTTCATTTAGATTACTAAGAACTAATTCTAACAATCTCTTTGAAATCAGACCTTAGTCCTCGCTACCGCTAAACAAAGATCTGAAGACATCCCATTAGGGGTCACGTCAGAATGACCTTTCATCGGACCAATCAGAGCGTCGCTTACCAGATCATGAAAGTGACAGTCGGAGTGTGATTTCTAATCATACAACCTCGAAAACTTTAACACGGGGTATTCCGAACAATAGTTACGGATTTAACAACTGAATCCATACAATCTAGACCATCTATTAGCCATTCCAGACTGTTCTTTTGTTTAGGTTTCAAATTTGTAATCCAGAATTTGTCAAGATATGTTTCGAAGTGTAGTCGCCAATTTGAAATTAGTGCCGTAAAACACGAGAAAGCTGCCTTCTGATTGGTCATTCCATTGGTCGGTCAAAGGTCGCTCAAGGTTGGTCTGACTTGACCCTTAATGGGATGCCCTCAGGTCTTTGTTTAGCGGACCGCCTCCGTGGTCTTGTGGTAGAGCGTCCGCCCGGAGAGCGGAAGGTCCGGGGTTCGATCCCCGACCGCGTCATACCAAAAGACGTTAAAAGATGGGACTTGTTGTTACCCTGTCTGGCGCTCGGCATTAAGGGGCTAAAACAAGGACTGGTCGGCTCAGAGTCAGTATACTGTGTCTGAGTGGGGTATCCATGTTAAACTGCGGCATGGTATCTCAGTGAGCTAGCACTATATATCGGCATCAGTCCGGACTAGTACAAGGAGCCACACAAACACACACACGTACATCCACGTCACTATATAAGTGCACTAATCTTGGACGCGACGTTAAACCCCATTTCACCTCACCTCTTTGTTTAGCGGGTCGCGAGAAATAAGATCTGATTTAAATGAGATTGTAATTCTAACAAATGCAAATGGTCAAATGATTGTATTGATGAAGAAGAATTTAGAAGAGGGTCTAAGGAGGTTTACCCCCATTCCCTTATTGTGTTTAACAAAGGGTCATTATCAAGGGCAGGGTACATCTCCCACTGTTCTAAATCATTGAAATCATCTGCCCTTTTATAAACACAATGACTCGAATAAACGCTGTGACCTCAATTAATCGCCAAGTAGTTTTTATGCACTGAATTCTCCCAATTATTATCTTTGTGATTAAGAGCTGGGGGTAAAGAGTGCCTGAAAGAAATCAGCCCTGGAATTATTTAGTCAAGGAAATACTGTGATCCCATTTTCAGTTCATTCCACTATGAAGGTTCATAAGTTTTGTAGACAGTGATATTATATACGAAATCCTTTCACATTTCATGGGTCGGGATTTCAACACTCCTACCTGGGTTACTGTGAAATTAACTACCATGGTGGCACATCTCAAAGCCTTCTTTGGACCCGTGAAGATTCCGGGGTAGAATAGGTCTTCAGCAACCCATGCTTGCCTTAAAAGGTGACTATGCATCTCGTAAAAGGCGACTAACGGGATCGGGTGGTCAGGCTCACTGACTTGGTTGATGCATGTCATCGATCCCAATTGCGTGGATTGATGCTCATGATATCAATCACTGGATTGTCTGGTCCAGACTCGATTATTTACAGATCGCCGTCATATAGCTGGAATATTGCTGAGTGCGGCGTTAAACAACAAACCAACCAACCAATCAAAGCATTCTTTGCCTCCATGACAGGTTTCATTGTAGTGCTAAGGTCTGTTGTGGGGCAGGTTCCACAAGGCAATCTTATCGCTGTGATTGATTATATACCTAAGTCTGTCGTTAATTAGCAGAGTTATGAAAATGGCAACACTAAAATCACTTTGTGGAAGGCCCAGGATCCTTTGAGAAGATGTTGCATCAGTATGTGCTTGTTCTGAGGTAGGACTCATGAAATGGAAGATGGATTATTTTTATGACTGCTAGATGTTCAACTACAGAAAGAGGTTGTGCTTGGTTTCCAGGAGGCGAGGAGCTTGGTGAACCGAGCTTACCACCACACAGTGGAGATCCTGGGAAACAACAAGGACAAGCTTCACACGGTGAGGAACTGGCACTGCTACCTGTAGAGATGACTAACGAGGTGGCCTCAGGTGCCCCGGTTGTATCCTTGACAGCTGATTTACTGATGAAGAATTTCTCAATGCCATACCTGTACTATAAACATCAGTGACCTGTACAATAAACATCTATGACCTGTACTATAAACATCAGTGACCTGTACTATAAACATCAGTGACCTGTACTATAGACATCAGTGACCTGTACTATAAACATCAGTGACCTGTACTATAAACATCAGTGACCTGTACTATAAACATCAGTGACCTGTACAATAAACATCAGTGACCTGTATCATAAACATCAGTGACCTGTATCATAATCATCAGTGACCTGTACTATAAACATCAGTGACCTGTACTATAAACATCAGTGACCTGTACTATAAACATCAGTGACCTGTACAATAAACATCAGTGACCTGTATCATAAACATCAGTGACCTGTATCATAAACATCAGTGACCTGTACTATAAACATCAGTGACCTGTACTATAAACATCAGTGACCTGTACTATAAACATCAGTGACCTGTACAATAAACATCAGTGACCTGTATCATAAACATCAGTGACCTGTATAATAAACATCAGTGACCTGTATCATAAACATCAGTGACCTGTACTATAAACATCAGTGACCTGTACTAAAAACATCAGTGACCTGTACTATATACATTGGTGACCTGTACTTTAAACATCAGTGACCTGTACTATAAACATCAGTGACCTGTACTATAAACATATGTGACCTGTACTATAAACATCTATGACATGTATCATAAACATCAGTGACCTGTACTATAAACATCAGTGACCTGTACTATAAACATATGTGACCTGTACTATAAACATCTATGACATGTACTATAAACATCAGTGACCTGTACTATAAACATCAGTGACCTGTACTATAAACATCTTTGACCTGTACTATAAACATCAGTGTCCTGTACTATAAACATCAGTGTCCTGTATTATAAACACCAGTGACCTGTACTATAAACATCAGTGACCTGTACTATAAACATCTTTGACCTGTACTATAAACCTCTGTGACCTGTACTATAAACATATGTGACCTGTACTATAAACATCTATGACATGTATCATAAACATCAGTGACCTGTACTATAAACATCTTTGACCTGTACTATAAACATCAGTGACCTGTACTATAAACATATGTGACCTGTACTATGAACATCAATGACCTGTACTATATACATCGGTGACCTGTACTATAAACATCAGTGACCTGTACTATAAACATCTTTGACCTGTACTATAAACATCAGTGACCTGTATCATAAACATCATTGACCTGTATCATAAACATCAGTGACCTGTACTATAAACATCAGTGATTGTACTATAAACATCAGTGACCTGTATCATAAGCATCAGTGACCTGTACTATAAACATCAGTGACCTGTATCATAAACATCAGTGACCTGTACTATAAACATCAGTGACCTGTACTATGAACATCAGTGACCTGTACTATAAACATCAGTGACCTGTACTATAAACATCTATGACCTGTACTATAAACATCAGTGACCTGTACTATAAACATCCGTGACCTGTACTATAAACATCTATGACCTGTACTATAAACATCAGTGACCTGTACTATAAACATCAGTGACCTGTACTATAAACATCTTTGACCTGTACTATAAACATCAGTGACCTGTACTATAAACATCAGTGACCTGTACTATAAACATCAGTGACCTGTACTATAAACATCTTTGACCTGTACTATAAACATCTTTGACCTGTACTATAAACATCAGTGACCTGTACTATAAACATATGTGACCTGTACTATAAACATCTATGACATGTATCATAAACATCAGTGACCTGTACTATAAACATCAGTGACCTGTACTATAAACATCTATGACATGTATCATAAACATCAGTGACCTGTACTATAAACATCTTTGACCTGTACTATAAACATCAGTGACCTGTACTATAAACATATGTGACCTGTACTATAAACATCTATGACATGTGTCATAAACATCAGTGACCTGTATCATTAACATCAGTGACCTGTACTATAAACATCAGTGACCTGTACTATGAACATCAGTGACCTGTACTGTAAACATCAGTGACCTGTACTATAAACATCAGTGACCTGTACTATGAACATCAGTGACCTGTACTATAAACATCAGTGACCTGTACTATAAACATCTATGACCTGTACTATAAACATCAGTGACCTGTACTATAAACATCCGTGACCTGTACTATAAACATCAGTGACCTGTACTATAAACATCTATGACCTGTACTATAAACATCAGTGACCTGTACTATAAACATCAGTGACCTGTACTATGAACATCAGTGACCTGTACTATATACATCGGTGACCTGTACTATAAACATCGATGACCGGTACTATAAACATCAGTGACCTGTACTATAAACATCTTTGACCTGTACTATAAACATCAGTGACCTGTACTATAAACATCAATGACCTGTACTATAAACATCAGTGACCTGTACTATAAACATCTTTGACCTGTACTATAAACATCAGTGACCTGTACTATAAACATATGTGACCTGTACTATAAACATCTATGACATGTATCATAAACATCAGTGACCTGTACTATAAACATCAGTGACCTGTACTATAAACATCTATGACATGTATCATAAACATCAGTGACCTGTACTATAAACATCTTTGACCTGTACTTTAAACATCAGTGACCTGTACTATAAACATATGTGACCTGTACTATAAACATCTATGACATGTGTCATAAACATCAGTGACCTGTATCATTAACATCAGTGACCTGTACTATAAACATCAGTGACCTGTACTATGAACATCAGTGACCTGTACTGTAAACATCAGTGACCTGTACTATAAACATCAGTGACCTGTACTATGAACATCAGTGACCTGTACTATAAACATCAGTGACCTGTACTATAAACATCTATGACCTGTACTATAAACATCAGTGACCTGTACTATAAACATCCGTGACCTGTACTATAAACATATGTGACCTGTACTATAAACATCTATGACATGTACATAAACATCAGTGACCTTTACTATAAACATCAGTGACCTGTACTATAATTATCAGTGACCTGTACTATGAACATCAGTGACCTGTACTATAAACATCAGTGACCTGTACTATAAACATCAGTGACCTGTACTATAAACATCTTTGACCTGTACTATAAACATCAGTGTCCTGTACTATAAACATCAGTGTCCTGTATTATAAACACCAGTGACCTGTACTATAAACATCAGTGACCTGTACTATAAACATCTTTGACCTGTACTATAAACCTCTGTGACCTGTACTATAAACATATGTGACCTGTACTATAAACATCTATGACATGTATCATAAACATCAGTGACCTGTACTATAAACATCTTTGACCTGTACTATAAACATCAGTGACCTGTACTATAAACATATGTGACCTGTACTATGAACATCAGTGACCTGTACTATATACATCGGTGACCTGTACTATAAACATCAGTGACCTGTACTATAAACATCTTTGACCTGTACTATAAACATCAGTGACCTGTATCATAAACATCATTGACCTGTATCATAAACATCAGTGACCTGTACTATAAACATCAGTGACTGTACTATAAACATCAGTGACCTGTATCATAAGCATCAGTGACCTGTACTATAAACATCAGTGACCTGTATCATAAACATCAGTGACCTGTACTATAAACATCAGTGACCTGTACTATGAACATCAGTGACCTGTACTATAAACATCAGTGACCTGTACTATGAACATCAGTGACCTGTACTATAAACATCAGTGACCTGTACTATAAACATCTATGACCTGTACTATAAACATCAGTGACCTGTACTATAAACATCCGTGACCTGTACTATAAACATCTATGACCTGTACTATAAACATCAGTGACCTGTACTATAAACATCAGTGACCTGTACTATAAACATCTTTGACCTGTACTATAAACATCAGTGACCTGTACTATAAACATCAGTGACCTGTACTATAAACATCAGTGACCTGTACTATAAACATCTTTGACCTGTACTATAAACATCTTTGACCTGTACTATAAACATCAGTGACCTGTACTATAAACATATGTGACCTGTACTATAAACATCTATGACATGTATCATAAACATCAGTGACCTGTACTATAAACATCAGTGACCTGTACTATAAACATCTATGACATGTATCATAAACATCAGTGACCTGTACTATAAACATCTTTGACCTGTACTATAAACATCAGTGACCTGTACTATAAACATATGTGACCTGTACTATAAACATCTATGACATGTGTCATAAACATCAGTGACCTGTATCATTAACATCAGTGACCTGTACTATAAACATCAGTGACCTGTACTATGAACATCAGTGACCTGTACTGTAAACATCAGTGACCTGTACTATAAACATCAGTGACCTGTACTATGAACATCAGTGACCTGTACTATAAACATCAGTGACCTGTACTATAAACATCTATGACCTGTACTATAAACATCAGTGACCTGTACTATAAACATCCGTGACCTGTACTATAAACATCAGTGACCTGTACTATAAACATCTATGACCTGTACTATAAACATCAGTGACCTGTACTATAAACATCAGTGACCTGTACTATGAACATCAGTGACCTGTACTATATACATCGGTGACCTGTACTATAAACATCGATGACCGGTACTATAAACATCAGTGACCTGTACTATAAACATCTTTGACCTGTACTATAAACATCAGTGACCTGTACTATAAACATCAATGACCTGTACTATAAACATCAGTGACCTGTACTATAAACATCTTTGACCTGTACTATAAACATCAGTGACCTGTACTATAAACATATGTGACCTGTACTATAAACATCTATGACATGTATCATAAACATCAGTGACCTGTACTATAAACATCAGTGACCTGTACTATAAACATCTATGACATGTATCATAAACATCAGTGACCTGTACTATAAACATCTTTGACCTGTACTTTAAACATCAGTGACCTGTACTATAAACATATGTGACCTGTACTATAAACATCTATGACATGTGTCATAAACATCAGTGACCTGTATCATTAACATCAGTGACCTGTACTATAAACATCAGTGACCTGTACTATGAACATCAGTGACCTGTACTGTAAACATCAGTGACCTGTACTATAAACATCAGTGACCTGTACTATGAACATCAGTGACCTGTACTATAAACATCAGTGACCTGTACTATAAACATCTATGACCTGTACTATAAACATCAGTGACCTGTACTATAAACATCCGTGACCTGTACTATAAACATCAGTGACCTGTACTATAAACATCTATGACCTGTACTATAAACATCAGTGACCTGTACTATAAACATCAGTGACCTGTACTATAAACATCAGTGACCTGTACTATGAACATCAGTGACCTGTACTATATACATCGGTGACCTGTACTATAAACATCGATGACCGGTACTATAAACATCAGTGACCTGTACTATATACATTGGTGACCTGTACTATAAACATCGATGACCGGTACTATAAACATCAGTGACCTGTACTATAAACATCAGTGACCTGTACTATAAACATCAGTGACCTGTACTATAAACATCAGTGACCTGTATCATAAACATCAGTGACCTGTACTATAAACATCAGTGACCTGTACTATAAACATCAGTGACCTGTACTATAAACATATGTGACCTCACTGTTTGATTGGCCTTCTAGAAGTTGGCAAATATGTAAGATAAACGTACAACTTTATGGATGACAACTTCTGGTTTATTGCATATGGCGATGTTTCGATGTAGATTCTTTCAACAACCAATTTTCTACTTTTCTCTTTTACCAGCAATGTTAGTCATCTGCTTATCACAACATTTCATGCATATACACCTCTCATCACTTGGTTGTTGTCACACCAGCTTGTTAACGGTGTAAGAATCTACATCGAAATGTCGCTGTATGCAATACACTATAAGTTTTTCTTTTTTTCTTATCAATAACCAGTGTCATTGTGTGCTTTCCTTTCACGGTAAGCGGACACACTGTATGTTATATCACTGAAAAGTAAGTGAAATCAGCACTTATTTAACTCCACCCATCTGTTGTTTGCACCCTGCCCCTACTTTAGGATTTCTCAAAAGTGCTTAAAATCTTTGTTTGTTTTTGTTTGTTGTTTGACGCCGCCCAGCAATATTCCAGCTATATGACGGCGGTCAGTAAATAATCAAGTCTGGACCAGACAATCCAGTGATTGACATCATGAGCATTGACCTAAGCAGTTGGGATCGATGACATACATCAACCAAGTCAGCGAGTCTGATCCCCTTAGTTGCCTCTTACGACAAGCATAGTCGCCTTTTACGGCAAGCACGTGTTGCTGAAGACCTATTCTACCCCGGATCTTACTGGGTGTCTTTGACCAAGGCCATTGGTTAACATGCTGCGATGTAACTGTAACACTGTTAAATGAGGAACTAACCCCAACTCACTCACTCACTCTATGTTGTGTTTCAGCTGGCTGCCACACTGCTGAAGGCCGAGGTTCTGACGTACGATGACATTGAGAAGCTGATCGGGCCCCCACCACACGGGAAGAAGAACACAATAGAGCCGCACGGCTGGGAGGGAATCATGCCCGAAAATAACGACGTCGGCCCCGAGAAACGGAGGAGGAATAGTAGCAGAAAGTCCAAACGGGAACAGCTGTGATCACTGACTTCTCAGCATCTGAATCACACAGACAAACCAGTGCCATTCTCAGGCAATTGGTGGAATACGAGACTTGATTCACAAGTCACTGGTTTTTGATGGCCATGACGACTGGGTTAGACACAGAGAGTAGTCTGTTAGTCCTGAGACTGGTCAAAATGTCAGTTGAGCTCTGGATTAGCTCGAATTCTCATTTCTGGTCACTGTGCAAAATAAACATTAAAGTCAAGGACCCCTGGTCATAACGCTAATGTCAACAGTTAAACATTTAGGGTGTTCCTAGATCCCAGAACCTCCGTTAATTTCGAACACAGCTTGTTATTACTGTGAAATACATTCGTGACACAGTATTTGCTGTTGATTTGAAATGTTCCACACAGGATTGTTTATCCTCGATTATTAAGTCTACTACATGTCCATTTTGTTAGGATAAATACCCTGGACTCATTCGCCACTGCCATTTCTCTTTAACTTAGCACAGAATTTCTCTCGCTTGTGAGACAGTAATATTTAGCACCATGCTGTTAGAAATGGGCTCAAAACAAAGCTATGTTTGTTTGTTTGTTGTTTAACGCCTCACTCAGCAATATTCCAGCTAAATGACAGCGGTCTGTAAATACTCGAGTCTGGACCAGACAATTCAGTGATTGATATCATGAGCATCAATCCACGCAATTGGGACCAGATGACATGCATCAGCCAAGTCAGTGAGCCTGACCACCCGATCCTGTTAGTTGCCTTTTGCGACAAGCATGGGTTGCTGAAGACCAATTCTAACCCCGAATGTTCAGGGGACAACAAAGCTATGTCAGCAATTGGGTCCAGGTTGTTTATCCTAATGGAATGGAGATATAATACCCTGGATAATCAAGGATGGGTTCTGTTGTGATATGATACATCTGGTAAATGTAATCATGTGTCTGCCACTTGAAAGTACACAGGGAATATAAATATATTTAACTATCTAACTTTCATGGTCCTGCCTCAAACTGAAATCTCACACCATGAGAACTGAACAATGTGTGATAGGTGTTTGCATTGTGTGTGCTTCATTGTTTATACTGTGTGCATCAGATTTGTACAGACTGAAGACTGAGTCAAATATGATAATAAATTTCCTATGTTACTGCCTTTGCCTTTGTAATTCATTGTCTGTAGTGACCGCCTCTGTGTTCTAGTGGGAGAGCGTCCGCCCGGAGAGCCGAAGGTCCGGGGTTCGATCCCCGGCCACGTCATACCAAAAGACGTTAAAAGATGGTACTTGTTGTTACCCTGTCTGGCTCTCAGCATTAAGGGGCTTTTAAAACAAGGACTGGTCGGCTCGGAGTCAGTATACTGTGTCTGAGTGGGGTATTCATGTTAAACTGCGGCATGGTATCTCAGTGGGCTAGCACTATAAATCGGCATCAGTCCGGACTAGTACAAGCAGCCACACAAACACACACACGTACATGCACGTCGCTATATAAGTGCAATAATCTTGGACGCGACGTTAAACCCCATTTCAACTCACCTTATTGTCTGTAGTGATCACCTCACCTTCTCTAAGGCACTGCAGTCTTTGTCTTTATGGAGATAGTGATCTTGCCAGAAGATCAACAGATCCCTGAAGCTGGCAAACACTTCTTATGACACAGAACATCAGTGATAGAAACTAACAGTTTTAGCCCACTCGTCCTTAAAATCATAACATGTAGCAAAACCATTAAAAATGGTACATTTCTATGAGTCCTTATGATACCTTAACTATTGGGCTGTTTGGCAACAACTACAGGACTAGTGCCAATTTCTAGCACTGAAGGGATTGGGAGACCAGTCCTGAGTCCTATTTACAGGTCGAAGTCTTTGATAGGTTGCCATGATAATATATTAGTAACTAGCATAAAACATCAAACAAACAAACTACTCGTACAAATCCATTGCAGTAAATCCTCGGCTCGTTACATGATGGCCTGTGTGTTTGGATGCTTTCACATCAAGAGCATAGGATCTGAGGATTGATCATTGCTTAGTTTTGCCGAGGCAAGACATTATGGATGTACAACTGAAATATAGAGAGATTCTTTTTTCGTGTGTCCTGCCACAATATTACAATAGTAGTCTAAATAATATAAGACCGCCTCCGTGGTCTAATGGTAGAGCGTCCGCCCGCGTCATACCAAAAGACGTTAAAAGATGGTACTTGTTACCCTGTCCTGCGCTCGGCATTAAGGGGCTAAAACAAGGACTGGTCGGCTAGGAGTCGGTATACTGTGTCTGAGTGGTGTAATCATGTTAAACTGCGGCATGGTATCTCAGTGAGCTAGCACTATAAATCGGCATCAGTCTGGACTAGTATAAGCAGCCACACACACACACGTACATGCACGTCGTTATATAGGTGCAGTAATCTTGGATGTGACTTTAAACCCCATTTCACCTCACCTCTAAATATTATACATGTCAAGTCGTCTAATACACATTTTCAAAGGAATGGTTGTTATTATTGAAATGCTGTGAAACAGTTATTATATTATTAATTGATTCAGACACGAATAATGAATTATAAAATGTATATCGACATTGTTTTTCAATAGATTTGAATTAAGCAAAAGTTATAATCACATCAGCAAAACGAATCCTAAAACACGAAGGAAACGTCTTTGAAGCGCTCATAAAATATAAATATTGCAACTTTTTGTGGTCAAGGGGAGGTCACTCTAAAGTCCTGTTAAATTTGCCTCCACCACAGTCGGATGATACCTTGATATGGATGCAAATTCGAAAGCCGAATGTCCTGTGTGCGGAAAGTCCTTTCCCTCTTCTTTCATAAACACACATGTGAATGAATGCCTCAACTTCTCAAATGTCGAATCAACAGCAGACGACACGATGTCAAAGTCGAACAAACGAAAGACGAGTGACAGGTCTGGAGATAAGGGATGGGGATTTTTCAAACAAACTAGTGTGTCAAAAAAGGTGAAACTTTCCGACAGTACGAAATCTAAATCGAAACACGAACTCGAAAAGAAAGAAACTCTTATAACTACAACATCAACCAATTGTGACAGTGATGACGACGTCTCCATATTAAACGACGACGATGATCAACAAATCGGGAAATCCCAAAAGACATCTAACATCAAAAACATTTTTCAGAGCTCTATTCCAAACCGAAATTCACCTAGTTCATCCAGCCATTCTAATTCAACACAAGCCAAGCCGTCAAGCAGCTGTAAGAACAAGTTCGCCCCCCTGGCTGAGCGGATGAGACCCACAAGCCTGGACCAGTACGTGGGTCAAACCAAGGCAGTGGGCAGGGAGAGTCTCCTCCACTCCCTTCTCAACAGCAGCCACGTCCCGTCCATGGTGCTGTGGGGACCACCGGGATGTGGGAAGGCAAATACCTTGTGTCTTTTATGAAGGAGATATTGACATGCTTAAATTGACATATACTTCACAAAAGAAGTTAAAGGACCAACCAATTCTTTCATATGAATTACTATACAGTAAACTACGGTTATAACGAAATCAAAGGCACCACAAATTTTAGTTCGTTATAACCGCAGTTCGTTATAAACATATATACAGCATAACTACAGCAAATTGTAGGGACAAAAAAGTAAGTTTGTTATATCTGTCAGTTCGTTATAAGCGTTTTCGTTATAAACGTAGTTTACTGTAGTTAATTTAAAATGCAATGTCTTTTGAGTAGTAGGCCTATAAAAGAGCCCAAATATTTGCAACCACTGCTAATAAACTACATTTTCACGTGTCTTTTGTGTTCCTCAAGACACAGGGGAAAGGCCAAAAGATATCATGTTTGTTTCTTAACGCCGCACTCAGCAATATTCCAGCTGTATGACAGCGATCTGTAAATAATCGAGTCTGGACCAGACAATCCAGTGATTGACATCATGAGCATTGGCCTAAGCAATTGGGATATGATGACATGCATCAACCAAGTCATCCTGTCTGACTATCCAATCCTATTCGTTGCCTCTTACGACAAGCATCTATAAGACATGGTTCATTTAAGCTTACTTCTGGAAATTTGCAGCCTACTAAAGAAATAAAATCAATAAAATTCTCTGTACCCATTTGGTTTTGAAAATGTCATGATAAACAAGAGCATTTGGCATTGTTAAATTAAAAATAACCATGATACCATGCTGTGATTTCTTCTTAAATATTGGTTTAATTATTTTTATATCAAAATACAGCATAATTCAGATCGTAATGTGAACTTTAGGTTGTCATGACTCATTAGATGGCCTAAGTTTTGAATTCAGCACCACTAAGTTTACAAACAAGTCACACTACCCTAGGAATTCTAAAGGTGTTATGTTTTTTTTCCCCCATACAGGAAAAATCGAGGTGTGTCCTTCAGGATGAATCGTTGATGCTTGTACATAGCCAGAATCTATAGTTCTCGCTATCTTATATCATAACCAGGTGAGGGGCGGTCGGGTAGCCTAGCAGTTAAAGCGTTCGCTCGTCATGCTGAAGACCCGGGTTCGATTCCCCGCCGGGATATTGCTAGAATATTGCTAAAAGCGGCGTAAAACCAAACTCACTCACTCACTCACTCACTCACTCACTCACTCACTCACTCACTCACTCACTCACTCACTCACTCACTCACTCACTCACTCACTCACTCACTCACTCACTCACTCACTCACTCACTCATAACCAGGTGAGCTACAGTACAGGCATTATGCTTTCTGTAAAATTCCATTTTGTACTGACTTTCACAGCACCATACACTTTCAGACAACTCTGGCCAGGATTATCGCCCACAACTGTAAATCTCACAGCAGCGTCAAGTTCGTACAGCTGTCTGCAGCAGCGTCGGGAATCAACGATGTCAAACAGGTAGTCACTGTGGCAAAGAACGACCAGAGAATGTTCAAGAAGAAAACTATTTTGTTTCTGGATGAAATACACAGATTCAACAAAACACAACAGGTACAACTTGTATTTCTGTCACCTAGCAGTCGTCATAATGTCATTCATTTATAGAGAATCTCACCCTCGTGTCTTGATATCAGGGAAAACGGGAGGCCCAGTCATCTAAGGTGCCGCGATTTGCTGTGCAGAGTTGCGTCCCTTGGGCACGCCAGAAACCTATGATTGTGGGTTTGAATCCCGGTTTGCCCCGATTATGGTGCTCGTGGGTTTCAACCGAAGTGGTAAACGTCTGAGACCTGCATCACTTCGGGTTTTCCTCCCACATTAAGCTGACATGCCATGATATGACTGGAATACTGTTAAAAGCGGCGTAAGCCCAACTCACTCACTCTTGATATCAAATATATCAACACAAGTCAATAAAAGTTTAAGACTCGGTGGCTTGCTGAAACTATTTCACTACTCCTCAGAGTTTGTAGCTAGTCCTGCTTGAACGAGACTAACACGTTTACTTTGTTTACATTTTCTGTTTTATTCAGTTCCAATTTGTAGCTAAGTTTCAATCATTGAAAACAGGTTCAGAATTATAGCCCTCAAATGCTCCAAGTCTATGAGGACTACCATCATTGTATTTGGACGTTCCTTGGGCTAGCGGACTAGCGTGAATTTTGAGGGCTGCTGATGAATATCGTATCATGATTCAGTTATCGTATTGTCCAAAATATCTGTCTGCCCACCTTCCCGTGGCTGGTAATTTTTCTGATGGGCTGAAATCTTCCTCCACCTCCATCTGGCAGATAATCTGAACTACTTTTTTGGGCTGCAATGAATACACTATGCGGGGAAAACGATATGTATAATGAATATAGGGTAACGAATATGAATATTTATTCACAAATACACTGACAGGTCATCAGTTGAGGTATTATTTATTATATTCAGTGAAACAATAACAACATAAATTATCTGACATGGTTTGACATGTTGACAGTGTTTATGATTATTATCATTTTGTACATTTATTTACCGGTATATACTGCATTTATGCAGGTACCAGTATCTGCTACAAAGCGACAATGACCAGTGACCACATTACTGTCAAATTAAATATGTAACATTGTTGTCTTTAAAGAAATCTATGTATGCCTATAAATAGTTGGGGGCACGGGTGGCCCAGTCGTCTAAGGCGCCGCGATTCGCTGTGCAGAGTTGCGTCCTTTGGGCACGCCAGAAACCTATGATTGTGGGTTCGAATCCCGTTCGCCCCAATTATGTTTCTAGGTTTGTCAGCACCATACCCGTGCTCGTGGGTTTCACCGAAGTGGTAAACGTCTGAGACCTGCATCACTTCGGGCTTTCCTCCCACATTAAGCTGACACGCCGTGACATAACTGTAATACTGTTAAGAGCGGCGTTAAACCCAACTCACTCACTCACTCACTATAAATAGTTCTTATGGATATTTGTAGTACAAAGCATTCTTTTTATTGTGTTCATAAATATTCGATTTTTGTGACCATGAATAATGAATACGATTCATGAAGGGATGCAGTTCGATTCACCGAATACACAAGTGAATCGTAGCAGCCCTAATACTTATGTATTCATTTTTTTATAATTCCTTGTAGATTCTCAAGTAATTGTATGCAATATTTCAAATGAATCAGACATAATTTGTGTCTTAGGTTTTGCAACTTTGAAATATTTATAATGCCTGAATGCAGGAGGGTAACTTTGAAGATGGACAGGCAACACTTGCGGGTCACCTGCCCGACTCTGGTTGGGTTTATAAAGTATATCGAACACTGAGTTATCATGATATGTATCATAAATACAGCTCGAACCCAGCTCACTCACTCACTCACTGTTGCCAGGACTCCCTGCTGCCCCATGTGGAGGATGGTACGCTCACTCTGATTGGTGCAACCACGGAGAACCCGTCCTTCCAGGTCAACGGGGCCTTGCTCAGCCGGTGTCGTGTGATTGTGTTAGACAAGCTCTCAACAGAGGATCTGTCCGTCATTCTACACAGAGCTGTGGAGGAGCTTGGAGCAAGGGTGTTCGAGTCTCAAGAAGACATAGAAGATGGTGGCGACAATGCACAGGACGATGAAGACAGGTTTGATCATGTTTTTTATTTATTTCTGTTTTAGAGGAAAGTGTGAAAAGATGTTTACAGGTGTCCCAATGTATGAAGAAAAAATAACTCTCTGTAAACATCATACTTGTAAACCTTTTTCCTACTGTGGGTCTGATGGGCCTAGGCGTGTCATTTGCAAGCCACCATCATACTACTAAACTATCGCTGAGTGCAGAATTAAACATCATCTTCCTGTCTGTTCCGCCCTCAGCCCTACTGTGTGGGTGGAGAAGGATGCTATCACGACGCTGGCTAACCTGTGTGACGGAGATGCTCGAGCTTCCCTCAACGGCCTCCAGATGGCAGTACAGTCGCGGGTCATCTCGGCCAAATTTGCAGCTGCGACACAGAGCGACGGAGACATGAACCAGAACAACATCGTCATCATCAACACGGATCATGTAAAGGAGGGTCTGCAGAGGTCTCATGTTCTGTATGATCGGACAGGTCTGTGCTCTTTCCTCTCCAGAGGGTTCATTTTGTCACTCTAGGTACTGAGGTTCAGTGGTCAAAAGTTACATCCCTTGGCTGTATCAGGATCCAACAGATGGGGGTTTGAATCCAAATGGTCTACCAGTGCCATATACATGCTCATTGGTTTCATCAAAGAGGTGCTAATGCATATTGGGCAGAGATACATCCCTTAGCTGTGACAGGATCCGATGGATATGGGTTTGAATCCCACAGGTCTGCCAGTGCCATATTCATGCTCAAGGGTTTCACCAAAGAGTTAGACATTTATGATCTGCGTTGCTTTGAACATTCAGCTGACAGAACATAATCATATAACTTAAACACTGCACAGAGGGGCATATAGTATAATCCAACAAACTCACTATTTTAATATCAGTAATAGAAAGATATTTGTTAAGTAAAGCAAGTTTGTTCCTTCTTAATACCTAAGCTGAAGATCCGGGGTAGAATAATTCTTCAGCAACCCATACTTGCCATAACAGGCGACCATTCTTCTCGTAAGAGGCGACTAACGGGATCGGGTGGACAGCCTTGCTGACTTTGTTGAAGCATGTCATCGTATCCCGATTGTGTGGATGGATGTTCATGATGGCAATCACTGGATTGTCTGGTCCAGACTCGATTATTTACAGACCGCCGTCATACAGCTGGAATACTGCTTAGTGCAGCGTTAAACAACAAACAAACAAGCAACCAAACCTCATCTGAAGCCTTCCCATTCTTGTGCATGGAAACTTCTTGTTTCTGTATTTTGTAAACTACTAAAAATTCATATCATCATAATCCTAGGTTGCCAATTTTTTCTACTGAAAAATGGGTTTTCAGCATGCTGAGCGTGAAGTTTGTTGGCCCAAGCATTAGTACTGATCCTCAGTCATAATGTTAGTAGGGGCACAGGCTGCCCAGTTGTCTAAGGCGCCGCAATACGCTGTGCATCCCTTGGACATGCCTGAAACATATGATTGTGGGTTCAGATCCCGCTTCACTCGATTGTGTTTCTAGGTTTGTCAGCACCATACTCGTGCTCATGGGTTTCACCAAAGTGGCAACATCTAAGACCTGCATCAATTCGGGCTTTCTTCCCACATTACGCTGAGACGCTGTGATATAACTGGAATACTGATCAACTCACTCACCCACTCACTCAAATTGTTAGTTCTGTCATATTTCATGGAAGACATGGATAGCAAACAATGTGTGTGATGTATATCTTCCCACCTGATACATTTCAGGGCTCTGTTCCACGAAGCAATCTCCGCACCATGATTGTCGTAAGCCGTGGGGATTCTGGGTTAGAATAGCTCTGCAGTAACCTATGAGGTCTGTGTGAGGCGACCGAATGATACGGGTGGTCAGGTAGAGTGACCTGGTTGATTGCGTGTGATCGTACCCTGACAGCATAGATCATTCTCGCAATATCAATCACTGGATTGTCTGGCCCAGACTACTTGTTTATTTACAGGCAGTCATATAGCTGGAATATTCGGGAGTGGGGCATTCTAAGATTGCTTCATACAACGGCACCCTGGTGTCCCCTGCTTTGATAGGGCTGGAATATTACAAAAATGGCATAAACCCCAACTCACTCACTCACTCATGCTGAGTGTGACATCATGTATCAACATTGCACCTCTTCCCTCCTCCCCCAGGTGAGGAGCACTACAACATCATATCTGCGATGCATAAGTCTATTCGAGGCTCGGATGCTAATGCTGCCCTCTACTGGCTGGCACGGATGCTGGAAGGGGGAGAGAACCCCTTGTATGTGGCCCGGAGACTTGTGAGGCTGGCCAGTGAGGACGTAGGTAGGTGCTTCACCAGCTAGTAGATTTTACCAATTTTAGGTTTTTTGTTTTTTTCGTTTTTTCTTATTCTCTTTTATTTATAAGCCACTTTTGTAGGTACTGAGTATATAGATATTTAACAGCCTGTTCATAATCAGATAGTCACAACAAAAATAAGAAAACCAAATTGTTACAGACTGAATGAGCTGTTGGTCATTACTGGATGACACTGACATTCAGGGTTTCCAGTAATTCGTGCTCCTTATGAAGTAAATTAGGCTTACAAAAATAAAAGAATTGGTTCTCAGGCAATGACTTTTGAAAATATAGTGCGGGCGGTTTGTGTTTTTTTGTGTTTTTTGCTTGTTCAAACTAGTATGTAACCAAATAAACAGTTCTGTACCATCAGCCTGGGAAAGGTCCTCCCTCCATAAACAAGCATACACACTCCTATTGCCGCCATGACCATAACACGAGATGTGCAGTAAAGCAGTGCACATGTAAAGGGAAGTAACTCTGTGCTGTATTGATTCACATTTTTTTTAGGTATTTAGATTTTTTTGATTATTTTCGGAAAATGTAAATAAAACGAAATGTATGGCAGACCTTATGATGATGCTGGCGGTGCCTGATAACCAAGACTATTATTTTTTTAGCCTTAAATGTGGAGTCACATTGTATCAGTGTCGCGAGAAAGCTCCTTGTCCGCTGTCCCGTGGCTGGTAACATTTCTGTTGGGATAGGTGTCCAACTATCCAGTGGAAAACAGTGTTACACCGACACTGACAAGTTTGAATCAGACATTGACATGTGACTCATTTGAATTGGCAATATTTCGACTGTGTATTGTAGTTTGTGAATGATTACGTATAGAAATTAGTTTTAAGAACTACCAAATTATGAATAGCATTCATTCCTTAGCATGCATATTAATTTATTGCACCCCAGGGGATGCACTTTTTGTGTCTGTTTTCAATTTGTATGTGTTTAGTATGTAGAATTTCGCATCCCGTAATCCCCCGAACATCTTGTCACCATCCTGCCTGGCTTGTTGGGAGTAAACAGTAATTTAGACACTGTATCCATTTGCACAGTAAAAACTAAGTTGAGAATCATTGTACTACTAGCGTATGGTAAGTGATTACCTACTATCTTTGTCTTTGACTGGATAATCTGACTTCCAGGTTTGGCGGACCCACTGGCGCTGAACCAGGCTGTTGCCGCGTACCAGGCGTGTCACTTCATCGGGATGCCAGAGTGTGATGTGAGATCACTACACACTAACCAGAAAATATTCAGGATTTTCAAAATTGTACAGGATTATACAGTAAACTACGGTTGTAGCGAACTCAAATGGACCATCGATTTTAGATCATTATAACCGTAGTTCGTTATAAGCATATATACAACATCTATACAGCAAATATCCGGAACCAAAAATTAAGTGTGTAATAAGCGTGTTCGTTATAAACATATTTTACTGTTTGCCCATTTTTTCCCCCTGTTAACAAAGATATAGGATCTTCAGATACTTGAGAGGGTGTCAGAATCCCCTGGAAGCCGTCCCCAAACATACAAGATGTCTTCCTTTTGTAGTGAAAACCTGTTTAAATTGATAATATTGTCCTCAATTGATTGATTTGATTTTCTTCATGGAGTAATACACTTATATAGATGTTTGTGGAGTAATGCCCTTGTACTTACGTAGATGTTCATGGAGTAATGCCCTTATTCTTCTGTAGATGTTCATGGAGTAATGTTCTTGTTCTTACGTAGATGTTCATGGAGTAATGCCCTTGTACTTACGTAGATGTTCATGGAGTAATGCCCTTGTACTTACGTAGATGTTCATGGAGTAATGCCCTTGTACTTACGTAGATGTTCATGGAGTAATGCCCTTGTTATGTAGATGTTCATGGAGTCATGCCCTGTACTTACATAGATGTTCATGGAGTAATGCCCTTGTACTTACGTAGATGTTCATGGAGTAATACACTTGTACTAACGTAGATGTTCATGGAGTAATGCCCTTCTACTTATGTAGATGTTCATGGGGTAATGCCCTTGTTCTTACGTAGATGTTCATGGAGTAATGCCCTTGTACTTACGTAGATGTTCATGGAGTAATGTTCTTGTTCTTACGTAGATGTTCATGGAGTTATGTTCTTATTCTTACGTAGATGTTCATGGAGTAATCTTCTTGTTCTTACGTAGATGTTCATGGAGTAATGCCCTTGTACTTACGTAGATGTTCATGGAGTAATGCCCTTCTACTTACATAGATGTTCATGGGGTAATGCCCTTGTTCTTACGTAGATGTTCATGGAGTAATGCCCTTGTACTTACGTAGATGTTCATGGAGTAATGTTCTTTTCCTTACGTAGATGTTCATGGAGTAATGTTCTTTTTCTTACGTAGATGTTCATGGAGTTATGTTCTTATTCTTACGTAGATGTTCATGGAGTAATCTTCTTGTTCTTACGTAGATGTTCATGGAGTAATGCCCTTGTACTTACGTAGATGTTCATGGGGTAATGCCCTTGTACTAACGTAGATGTTCATGGAGTAATGCCCTGTACTTACGTAGATGTTCATGGAGTAATGCCCTTGTACTTACGTAGATGTTCATGGAGTAATGCCCTTGTACTTACGTAGATGTTCATGGAGTAATGTTCTTGTTCTTACGTAGATGTTCATGGAGTAATGCCCTTATTCTTACGTAGATGTTCATGGAGTAATGTTCTTTTTCTTACGTAGATGTTCATGGAGTTATGTTCTTTTTCTTACGTAGATGTTCATGGAGTAATGTTCTTATTCTTACGTAGATGTTCATGGAGTAATCTTCTTGTTCTTACGTAGATGTTCATGGAGTAATGCCCTTGTACTTACGTAGAGGTTCATGGAGTAATACACTTATACTTACATAGATGTTTCTGGAGTCATGGTTAACCTTGATACACACATTGAAACATTCCCCAGGTGATACTGGCCCAGTGTGTCGTGTACCTGGCACGAGCCCCCAAGTCAGCAGCGATGTACCTGGCGTACAAGAAAGCCAAGTCGTGTGTAAAGGAACACCAGGGGCCTCTTCCGTCCGTGCCCCTACATCTGCGAAACGCCCCCACGAAACTCATGAAGAGCCTCAGTAAGTTGAACACAGGAAGTGTATCACTGGCTACATGGCAGGGTTCACACAGTCCAGGGCTGAGACAAGGCAGGGACAGATACATCACATGCTGGGTGATGCTGAGGGGGAACCAATTGCTTTCAATACTGAGGGAGGGGTGTGTGGGTGAGAGAGGGGGGATAGGTGGAGGAGGGGTGTGTGGTGAGGGAGGGGATAGGTGGAGGAGGGGTGTGTGGTGAGGGAGGGGTGTGTGGTGAGGGAGGGGTGTGTGGGTGAGAGAGGGGATAGGAGGAGGAGGGGTGTGTGGTGAGGGAGGGGTGTGTGGTGAGGGAGGGGTGTGTGGTGAGGGAGGGGTGTGTGGGTGAGAGAGGGGATAGGAGGAGGAGGGGTGTGTGGTGAGGGAGGGGTGTGTGGTGAGGGAGGGTGGGTGTGGTGAGGGAGGGGTGTGTGGTGAGGGAGGGGTGTGTGGTGAGAGAGAGGGGATAGGTGGAGGAGGGGTGTGTGGTGAGGGAGGGGTGTGTGGGTGAGAGAGGGGATAGGAGGGAGGGGTGTGTGGTGAGGGAGGGGTGTGTGGTGAGGGAGGGTGGGTGTGGTGAGGGAGGGGTGTGTGGTGAGGGAGGGGTGTCTGGTGAGAGAGAGGGGATAGGTGGAGGAGGGGTGTGTGGTGAGGGAGGGGTGTGTGGTGAGGGAGGGGTGTGGTGAGGGAGGGGGTGTGTTGGAGAGAGAGGGGTGTGTGGTGAGGGAGGGGTGTGTGGTGAGGGAGGGGTGTGGTGAGGGAGGGGGTGTGTTGGAGAGAGAGGGGTGTGTGGAGAGAGAGGGGTGTGTGGTGAGGGAGGGGTGTGTGGTGAGGGAGGGTGGGTGTGGTGAGGGAGGGGGTGTGTGGTGAGGGAGGGTGGGTGTGGTGAGGGAGGGTGTGTGTGTGAGAGAGGGGTGGTGGTGTGGTGAGGGAGGGGGTGTGTGGTGAGGGGGTGTGGTGAGGTGAGGGAGGGGGTGTGTGGTGAGGGGCTGTGGTGAGGTGAGGGAGGGTGTGTGTGTGAGAGAGGGTGGTGGTGTGGTGAGGGAGGGGGTGGTGTTGTGGTGAGGGAGGGGGTGGTGTGGTGAGGTAGGGGGTGTGTGTGAGAGAGGGTGGTGGTGTGGTGAGGGAGGGGGTGGTGTTGTGGTGAGGGAGGGGGTGGTGTGGTGAGGGAGGGGGTGTTGTGAGGGAGGGGGTGTGTTGGAGAGAGAGGGGTGTGTGGAGAGAGAGGGGTGTGTGGTGAGGGAGGGGTGTGTGGTGAGGGAGGGTGGGTGTGGTGAGGGAGGGGGTGTGTGGTGAGGGAGGGTGGGTGTGGTGAGGGAGGGTGTGTGTGTGAGAGAGGGGTGGTGGTGTGGTGAGGGAGGGGGTGTGTGGTGAGGGGGTGTGGTGAGGTGAGGGAGGGGGTGTGTGGTGAGGGGCTGTGGTGAGGTGAGGGAGGGTGTGTGTGTGAGAGAGGGTGGTGGTGTGGTGAGGGAGGGGGTGGTGGTGTGGTGAGGGAGGGGGTGTGTGGTGAGGGGGTGTGGTGTGGTGAGGGAGGGGTGTGTGGTGAGGGAGGGTGGGTGTGGTGAGGGAGGGGGTGTGTGTGTGAGAGAGGGGTGGTGGTGTGGTGAGGGAGGGGGTGTGTGGTGAGGGGGTGTGGTGAGGTGAGGGAGGGGGTGTGTGGTGAGTGGGTGTGGTGAGGTGAGGGAGGGGGTGTGTGGTGAGGGGCTGTGGTGAGGTGAGGGAGGGTGTGTGTGTGAGAGAGGGGTGGTGTTGTGGTGAGGGAGGGGGTGGTGTGGTGAGGGAGGGGTGTGTGGTGAGGGAGGGGTGTGTGGTGAGAGAGAGGGGATAGGTGGAGGAGGGGTGTGTGGTGAGGGAGGGGTGTGTGGTGAGGGAGGGGTGAGGGAGGGGATGTGTTGGAGAGAGAGGGGTGTGTGGTGAGGGAGGGGTGTGTGGTGAGGGAGGGGTGTGGTGAGGGAGGGGGTGTGTTGGAGAGAGAGGGGTGTGTGGAGAGAGAGGGGTGTGGTGAGGGAGGGGTGTGTGGTGAGGGAGGGTGGGTGTGGTGAGGGAGGGTGTGTGTGTGAGCGAGGGGTGGTGGTGTGGTGAGGGAGGGGGTGTGTGGTGAGGGGGTGAGGTGAGGGAGGGGGTGTGTGGTGAGGGGCTGTGGTGAGGTGAGGGAGGGTGTGTGTGTGAGAGAGGGGTGGTGGTGTGGTGAGGGAGGGGGTGGTGTTGTGGTGAGGGAGGGGGTGGTGTGGTGAGGGAGGGGGTGTGTGTGAGAGAGGGGTGGTGGTGTGGTGAGGGAGGGGGTGGTGTTGTGGTGAGGGAGGGGGTGGTGTGGTGAGGGAGGGGGTGTTGTGAGGGAGGTGTGTGTGTGGTGAGGGAGGGGTGTGTGCGAAGGAGGAGGGGGTTGGGGAGAGGAAGAGTGTAGTTGAGATTGGCGTCTCATTCACTGTCACCATATTTGTCACTAGTTCCAACTACAAGATGCAGAGTGGATGGTTACAATGTGTGACATGGAAAGATTCACTCACTGTTTCAGACTATGGGAAAGGCTACAAGTACAACCCAGCCTTCAGCGAACCGGTAGACCAGGAATACTTCCCAGAAGAGCTCCGGGGAACAGACTTCTTCACATGAACACAAGAGTTGTCTCCCCTAGAACCTGGCACAAAAATGCTTCCATTTGGAAGAGGAAACTTTTCCACAGAGCAATCTTAGTACTAAGTTGGTCGTAACTCCCATACTTTATCATAGACTTATGATCAACTTAGCACTAAGATATCTTTGTGAACCCTTGTCATGATCTGACTTATGTCAGGCCTCAATAGATCAGACAGTATGGGACACTGCAGACAGTACAGCACCTCAGCCGTCCTCAACAGACACGTGAGGCAACAGAGATCTTGGACATCTTTAACATAGGGTTAACATGGTTACTAGTTGAAATTTGGATAACAATAAAATTGCAATCAGAAAGTAGGATTGGGGATGAAATGTGATGAAGAGTGGATGGATGGGCTGCTTAAAGTCTTCTTTGAACAAGTCTAAGAGTTATTTCCCTTGCCATATCACTCTTCTTTGGGGTAATTTTATCACTGGCCTGAAAATTCTGACTGAGCAGTACTGTCTTACTATCTTACTGTCCCCTTTCTGTTGTATGTATGTACATATGCTGAATCTGTGCATTGAACATGTCCCTCAATGATGTGGATTTTGCGCTATACAAACAGCCTTATTATTAATTGATTAAAAATATTAAAGACTTACTGAATATTCCACACGTTAAATTTCCAGTCAGGGGATGCTTAACAAAGAAATAATAAAAAATATACTGACATTTTCCCCTTGCTAAATGACAATACCAGTAGGACAGATACTTGCTTGGTCTGGTCCTGGATCCTACCCATGTGTTTCCTCCCCTTTGCTGGGGTAGGTAGCCTAGTGGTTAAAGCAATTACTCCTCCCACTGTTATAATGTCCCTTGGGCACGCCAGAAACCTATGATTGTGGGTACGAATCCCGGTTCGCCCCGATTATGTTTCTAGGTTTGTCAGCACCATACCTGTGCTCGTGGGTTTCTCCAAAGTCGTAAACGTCTGAGACCTGAATCACTTCGGGCTTTCCTCCCACATTAAGCTGACACGCCGTGATATAACTGGAATACTGTTAAAATCAGCGTTAAACCCAACTCACTCAATCACTCTCTGTGCAATTATGATAGTCAGTATATGATAGAGGGCAATACATTATAAAATTTGAGTTTGTACTTTGTAGACAACATTTTAAAACGGTTTCAGAATGACATGAATCAAATTTGTTAGGATGTGAGTGACTTGTTGATCCGAGCCTATACTGACCCAGGGTGCATTCAAAGTTCCACCTCCAGCAACCCATTCTTGTCTCCTGTGAAGAACTGGCTTAGAATTGGCCTTCAGCAACCCATGCTTGCCGTAGGGGGCGAGCAGGCTCGCTGACTTGGTTCATGCATATCAGTATCCCAATACTTGGATCGATGCTCATGATGTCAATCACTGGATTGTCTGGTCAATTCTTAAATAAACTCACACAAAATAAAATTTTTCTTTATTTTATGTCACTATTTTTACCTAAAAGACGTAGACCTTGATCTATACACACTTATATTTTGTACGTGTGACTTCATGTTCACACTGACAGCCATACAACAACCAGCTGTATCGTGGATTAAAATAATTTTGATTTAAAGTTTACACGATATACGGCTTTTCCATTGGACGAGAGGTCTGTCACATGACCGCGAAATTGTCGTTCATAAGTCTATGAACGACACAATTTGACGTTCATACGTTTTTCACGAGACCCTTTTTCTTGAAATGACGTAAACACTGACGGACTACTTCCACATTCCTGGGGAAACCCCTGGGAATTCCCTAGCACGAATACATACAGAAGCGTTCTTTCTGAACATTTACACCCTTTAATCTTGACCTTAGCATTTCAGTATACATTGAGAAACGTCAGAGAGTTTGACTGCATGATTGTTCACAAATATCCTTGCTACGACCCCAAATGGACAAAACGAAGAAATGCACTTCTCAACTACCGTAATATACAGACCACCAAATAGCTGCAATATTGCTGAATGGTGTTTAAGGTGGGCACTATTTCACTTTGTCTGGTGGGCACTATTTCACTTTGTCTGGGTTATATTAAATGATCAGAACTACAGAAAGGGAATAAATATGTTTATCAATGACATCTAAACTGTACCAGAACTGAACTTAACCTTCTGCCAGAAATCCTACTGTACAGGGTTTAAAGCAAGATTTATGTTACCTTCGTTAACGGCCAGTTTCAAGCCTCTGTGTATGCATGACAGACCCATGAAGATCGGGGTAGAATAGGCCTTCAGCAACCCATGCTTGCCGTAAAAGGCGACCATGCTTGCCGTAAGAGGCGACTCACGGGATCGGGTGGTCAGGCTTGCTGACTTGGTTGATGCATGTCAACGATCCCAACTGCGTGCATTGATGCTCATGATGTCAATTACTGGATTGTCTGGTCCAAACTCGATTATTTACAGACCGCCGTCATATAGGTGGAAAATATGTGGAATATTGCTGAGTGCGGCGTTAAACAACAAACAAAAACATGCTGGGAGGCTTGCCTGTCTTAGCACTTGTTATCAGTGCAAGTTCTTCCCAGAAGGGGGCGGCCAGGTAGCCTAGTTGTGAAAGCGTTCGCTCGTCACGCCGAAGACCCTTGGTTCGATTCCCGACATGGGTACAATGTATGAAGCCCATTTCTGGTGTCCCCCGCCGTGATATTGCTGGAATATTGCTAAAAGCGGCGTAATTGGCATGTTCAGCTTAATCTAGTATTTCACTATTATCGCCTTCATTCGTATTAGATGTGTGCCCACTCGCCTTTACCATATCTAAGGGGGAAATAAATAACAGACATTTTTTATTTTGTATCAAGCTTTCAATGAAGGTTTCATTTTTTATTTTCACTTGAGAGTGTGATTTTACCCTTGTACATGGCCGATGTCTGAACCTCTTTGTGTTACGGTGCTTGAGATCATATCATGTGTTTTCACAAAGATATTAGGAGATAAACCCACTGTGTTTTGAAATTAGATGGAGTACCAATGTAGAGTAGATGCCTTTTAATAAATCTGTGAACCCTGCTTTAGCGAGAGGTTTCAAATGTGTAAATAAGAGGTATCTACTCTACAGTGGGACTACATCAAATATTAAAACACAATGGGTTTATCTCCATTTTACCATGACGGCAACGGCTTTGAAAAGGTTGCTCTCTTTCAACGTGTAACTACACAGGGTACAAAGGTCGCTATCTTAGAACATTCCAAACCGGGGTCACAGGAAATATTAGGTTCAACATTAAAATACCCATAGTTTTTACTAGTTCAAAATAAGTGTTCAAAACACATAGTTTTTCAATATGAAGTTGACAAATAACCCTCCAAACCTAGTCCAAATATATGTTTTAATTTCATCGCAACCAGCTGTGCACTGTTTGGGCTCAAGTTATTTCTTGGAAATCAGAGGGACAAGTCATTTCTTGGAAATTGAACATTTCATTTCCCATTTTAGGGGTGACAGGTTGTAGAAATAGTTTTTAAAATGCTGATCGAATTTATTCCTCCAACAAACTGTATTATTTAACATTCTATTATTTATTTTACTTGTTTAAGTCTTGTTAGTTAGCTAGCAGTTACCCTAGTAAACAATACAAATTCAAAATAACTGCCTCTCCACCCCGAACTCCTGCCTCGGACAAGTTAGACAAAGCAAAATGACAACCCCGATCTATGATGTGGTTCAACATTAACCTGTAGATTTACTGGGATTGAGCCTGCTGGTACAACGTGATTGGCAATGGAACTGCATTGAGTATGACTGAACAGTTGTTTTTTAGGCTGCAGACGAGCCTGCATTTTCACACGAGGGATTCAAGATTATTCGACGACAGCATATGAACGAAATATGACAGTTGTGGCCCTGACACAGTGGTTTGTGTTTGTTTTGCGTAATTGTGCGTGCTCTAACCAGTTCCACAAGTTTGATAAGCTGTTGTGATCAAGTGCCTGTGCTGTGACTTCAGTGATGTCGGGACGTGCCAGTTTTCGTGGCTTTTCGAAGGGAGGGGTGTTTATGATGGACTTTCAAATCCCCTCCTGCCAAATCCTAACGTTGGTGGTTGACAGAAATGGCAATGGATATCGATCACAAAAATGGTTTGTAACCACATGTCACGAATAAAGTTTTTAAAACACTTATTTATGATGTTATATTTTACTTTCATTTGGTCTATCGTTTGTTTCAATGGGGAAATTACCCGTTCGCGACCGAACATGTCCCTAAATATTCATAAACATTATAATTTTTATGCACAACATATGCCTTAATTAAGTAATCAAATCGAAGCAGTCAGGGTCTAGAATGACAAAATCGTCGCCAAAAACATCCCATATCAAGCGTACCGTATTTCCACTATTCGACACTCGGACGTCTATTAGTTTCGCGAGAGCCGTTGACCCGGCGTGTATTAGAGAACTAGCGTCTAATAGAGGAAATGTCGAAACGGTATACAGTTCTTATCGGTGATCGGCAGCCATTTTTTATGGATCGATGTATTCATTTGTGTAAAAAGGCTTAATAATTTTAAAAGAGGTTCTGTTGCAAAAAGGAATACTCTTTTTAACCAATCAGAATCAAGCATTCTTCAATGTCATGGTAGAATCCTTATTATCCTGATAACAATTGTCAACAGCAACACTTGGACAACATGAAATATCTATCAAATGTGAGACTGTGATAAAAGTGACTCAACAACAATGTGGACGATATATACTAACAATATGTGAACTGACATCAACAATATTAAATATGTAATAAACAATAAAGTAGATGTAGGCACAACAAAGAGGTATTTAACTTTTTCACGTAGATAAATTGATAACTACTAAAGTTACAAAAAATGCAACCTGGGAGTTTAGCGATACCAACTTTTACCATGACTTTGGAAACGACTATTCTGTGTGGTCTTCAGTCACAGGTTTCAAATCACAATACGCACATCTGATTTCAACATTCGCATCACCATCGAGGATGCTTTCTAAACATAATCGGTCATTTTGAAATAATAAGTATATCAAACGTTGGACTCAACACATGTCGACCCACGCATTATCGCTTCTAACACCACATAGTCTGTCATGGTAGCATAAACTTACATGTCACTCATGAACTTATTTATTTCCCTGTAGATTTTTTCATCTCTTGATACTATATTTATCAGTTAGTGAGTGAGTTGGGTTTAACGCCGCTTTTAACAGTATTCCAGTTATATCACGGCTTGTCAGTTTAATGTGGGAGGAAAGCCTGACGCAGGTCTCAGACGCCGGTCTCAGACGCCTACCACATCGGTGAAACCCACGAGCACGGGTATGGTGCTGACACACCTAGAAACATAATCGGAGCTAACCAGGATTCGAACCCTCAATCATAAGTTTCTGGCGTGCCCAAGGGACGCAACTCTGCACAGCGAATAGCGGCGCCTTAGACGACTGGGCCACCTGTGTCCCCTATATTTATCAGATCTGAGTTGTGTCCACTATCCAGCTGAAACTAAAGATAGCATAACAGTTTAACAATATTGTTTAACAGATTCAACAATCGATCAAATCCTTCTACAGCTGCCACACATACAAAAAGTCTTGGTATATACCTTTGTACAAAAAAATGATTATGATGAATCTACAATTGTTCATTGTCAAGTCAAGGCTTTTGATTTCTTTCGGAAGATGTGCGTGTCCTATCATGAAAGTGACAGAAACCCCAAAACATCCTCTCCTTCGAGGAAGCATTCTGAACAAAGCCCCTCCTGAGGTCAATAGCAGTTTTCATGACAACCAGCTGCTATAACCGAAGTCTCGTGCATTTGAAGCAGTCTTCGTGTTGTTCACAGGACGGATTGTTTGGGTACATGGAGATACACCTTGATAGGCACTTCTCTATACAGTGAGGTGGAGTCACCGACTTGCCCAGAGGAACAACTACAGCTGATGCCCACTCCTCTACATCTGTCATCGCTCAAGATGTACCGATTCTGGTAGGCAGTGGGTCTGAAACAATAGCAGCTATTTAGAGAAGGGGGCAAAAGGGTTACATATGTCTTTTCCAAATACAGATTCTACAGAGTTAAGTGGATATAGAAAAAGTCTTGTGAGTGAGGGAGTGAGTATTCCAGCAATATCACGGCTTGGTACACCAGAAATGGGCTTAACACATAGTACCCATGTCGGGAATCGAACCCGGGTCTTCGGCGTGACGAGCGAACGCTTTAACCACAAGGCTACCCGACCGCCCCTAAAAAGTCTTGTGATTTGCAGACGTCTGATACCAGGAGGGGTATGCAGTTTTACGCCAGGAAACTGTAGATGTCTTAAAAAAAGGCGTCTTGGAATAATAATTTTCATGGTCTAAAACAAGAGTGCGGAATTAGATCCTCCGAAAGCGCTCGTTACATCTTCAACATCATCAGAGGCCCGGATGATTGTAGGATGCAAGTGTCGGGGAAACCATTGGAGAACTCCATTGAAAGTGCCATTAAGCACTTTCGCGTCCATTTCGGTCGGAAGGTACACGATAAGACGAATAATTAAGGAATTCTCTTATATCAATTAAGTTTACTTATGTCACGTTCACGATAATATTGTTTGATTGGCCAGTAGCTGAATCTCACCTCCAGCTTGGTCGTCTCGTCTGTGAGGACGTACTGCTGCTTGTTCCGAGACACCAGAGTCTTCAGTTTCTTCCACACGTTGATCACCAGCTCTGGATTCACGTCCGGCTTCCTCAAACCACCTGAAACACCCATACACCATAAGCAACTACGGGATTAAAGCACAGTACCGTAAACACAGGGAAGCCTCCAACCGAAAGCCTCAGTGATATTGCTGGAACGTTGCTAAAAGCAGCGTACTCACTCACTCCACAGATTCTCGAAGACCCATTAATACATTAATACTTTGTCGAAAATGATGCAACTAAAGAACTCATGGAAATGAAAAAACCTGTTTTGCTGGATTTATTAATCGACACAATGCATTACGTAGATGTAAATACGAAATAACAAAACAACTGGAAAAGTACTAGTCTGGATTTGCTAGTTTTATCTCAGTGCTCAATACAAAATGTACTTTACAGGAGGTAATTTGTAGGCACTTTCAACATTAAAAAATAAAACTAAGTCCAAATTGACATGGCAGAAACAGGCTATAGGCATTATGCAAATTAGCCTGGAAAAAAGTTATCAAAACAACAATAAAAATAACAGCTATGTTTATGTACATAATAATAATGACATGTAAGTTGTTGTTTGATAAGGGAATATGTTACTCTTACGTTCTGATATTTTGACGATGATTCACTATCCCACAACGCCACTCACAAATCACTAACCACTGACAAATCACATGCACGTGGGTTTCAAGCACCTGTTTTCACCTGTCGTCAAGGTGTCATAGGTCATGGACATTCACCTTGATCTACTAACACCTGGTTATACTCAGTTTCACAATAGTCTGTTTTGTTCATATTTTTACACATTTTTACGTGTAAAAAGACATAAAAACCTTTGATACGCTGTATTTGCGCCAAGGCCCAATTAGTACAAATTGAGTTGTTTGAATATTTATATATTTATTTTGTATATTAACTGCATTTATTTTTTTTTCCATTTCCGTGAGTACTTTAATTTGGAATCCCACTGTATGTTCGACGGGTCATGTAACCACTGTGTGCGTCATAACCAGCCCTGTCACGGGCTATTTATAAGCCTTTGATGTTTTAACAGGTCAGCAAATCACACCAGGCGACCTTCTCATCCATATCGCATTTGTAAATAAATATGCACCAGTAAGTAAATAAATACCTATGGTGCACGTCACTGTGTACAATTTCCTGTCCGCTTTCAGGAAATTGTACACAGTGACGTGCACCATAGGTATTTATTTACTTACTGGTGCATATTTATTTACAAATGCGATATGGATGAGAAGGTCGCCTGGTGTGATTTGCTGACCTGTTAAAACATCAAAGGCTTATAAATAGCCCGTGACAGGGCTGGTTATGACGCACACAGTGGTTACATGACCCGTTTTGGTTGTGTCTTTTTTGACGCCGCACTCAGCAATATTCCAGCTATATGACCTGTAAATAATCGAGTCTGGACCAGACAATCCAGTGATTGATATCATGAGCATCGATCCACGCCATCGGGTTACGACGACATGCATGAACCAAGTCAGCGAGCCTGACCACCCGATCCCGTTAGTCGCCTCTTACGGGAAGCATGGGCTGCTGAAGACCTATTCTACCCCGGGCCTACATGACCCGTGATAAAGCTGGTGATGGTGCCTACAGTGTTATCTGACCTGTGAGGATGCTGATGATGACGCCCACAGTGAAGGCGACGAGGACCGACGTCCCGCTGTACCACATATACGAGAGGCGGTAGATGGCCATCGGTGGCGGAGGGGGGCTGTGGATATAAACCAGGCGGTATATAGTGCTAATAGTATCACCATGACTAAAATCTAGTCTCTGAAATGAACACATCTTACAGAAAAAAGTACTTGTTGATTATCTTAATAAAAAATGATAAAAAGGAGACCAGAGACTCTCTTCATATTCGGACAGTTCAGTAATCTAGACTTGCCCACTATCATACACTTGCATGGGCTGTTTTGGATATATTTGTTTTGTATGATAGATAAGTATCACCCAACCATATGGCTATAATGCATGTAACAATTTACGGGACGAGTGGCCGAACCAGGTTCCACTGGGTATAAAAGGCAAAATAAAATGGTGAAAATTGTATGAATGGATCACTGAAAATCAGTGATGACACCAACTGTTCGCAAACAGCGTCAAGCCAAACCTAAGCAATTCGCAATGGAGTGTTTCGTTCTTTTGTCGTGCCAGAATCCGGCCCGATTATGATATTTTGTTTGTCAGCGCAATACCCGTGCTCGTGTGTTTCACCAATGTGGTAAAATGTCTAAACCTGCATCACCAACAAGCTGACACGCCGTGTCATAACAGAAATAATGTTCAATGTGGCTTTAAACCCAACTCACTCAAGAATAGTGAGTGAGTGCGTTGGGGCTAACGCCGCTTTGAACAGTATTCTAGTCATATCACGGCGTATCAGCTTAATGCGGGAGGAAAGCCCGAATTGATGCAGGTCTCAGACATTTACCACTTTGGCGAAACCGCATGGTGCTGACAAACCTAGAAACATAATCGGGGCGAACCGGTTTCGAACCCACAATCATGGGTTTCTGGCGTGCCTAAGGGACACAACTCTGCACAGCGAATTACGAAGCCTTAGACGGCTGCGCCACCCGTGTCCCTTCAAAACAGAATAAGAAATAAGGTATCATAACAGCATCGGAATACATTGAATAACATGACGATGCAGTATTCCTCGCTGGCAGTACATATGAATTCGTAGTGTCTCAAATGAACATATTTGTGAACCTTGTAACTCTATTGTCTGACGTACTTACCTGTCCGCAGTAAGGGTCGTGTTTACCATGACCACGGTCATGTTGCTAAGCAATGACCTCATGGTGGTAGGTGTGCTGTACGTAGAGTTAAACCCCGACATGACGTCACAGCCGTCGGTGGTGATGTTAAGGATCGGTGGGCGAGATCCGTTGACAGTGGAGCCTATTACCACCCACAAACTGAACACAAGGCCCGAGAACAGGGCGGCGACAGCACCCTGCATCATGGGAGGAATACAAGGATAACCACATTTTGTACCAGGTGATAACATCAATTTTAACTAAACTGGATACAATATCATAAACTGGCCCGCAAGTTATCATGCAAAGTGCGGACCACAGTTTATAAGGGTAACGCTATTTTTCAGGGCATTATCATTTGCAGAAGCCCGAGGTCTTCCATTAACTGCCTGATGAAGGAGGGCAGTTGAACAGACCGAGTGTTTCTGCAAACGATAATGCTCTGAAAAATAGTGTTACCGTTATTATAGCTAAAATGGATAGAACTTGTTATCAAATATATATAAACAATATCGGTTTTGAAACATTTACTGCAATCAACACATAACGAATGTCACTGACCCACTTTAACAAGTATGGAAACGTCATAGAATAAACCAGATGACGTCGCCAGTCGTCAAGCAATATGAGAGTATTATCAAGTTACAGTGGCCCGCTAGTTTCTGATAACACGCGGGCGGTTTAGTGATAATTATATCCATTTTAGCTATAATACTTGATAATGTCCTCATTTTGCCTGACGATGGCCATTATCAATATGTTTCCATATGACGTCATAGCTATTCTGCATACTAACGTAAACCAACATGGAGTCTATCAGAACGACTCTGTCTACTCGTGTAATTGACCAAGCGCCTCACGAGTCAACTGATGACATTATGGGTCGATGATGTCAAGCGCAACGTTAACCTTGATTGCAGCGGTAAGATCTCCATTACTGCACTGTCAATCGTTTCTATATCTACTACGAGTCATGTCCATCAAACTCCGAAAATTTACTTTCGATGAACTCACAAAACTGTTTCTCTCTGATGTTGGGGGAATCGAAAGCCAAGGTCGAATAAAACCACGCGATTTATAGAAACGTTATCCATTGTTGACGAGGTGTTTCTAGGCCAGCGTCACACTAAACCTACTGTCCTTATTGTGAGCGTAACGCCTGCCATACGTTGTTGTTTGGGTTAGTTCAATGGTATTATCACGACAGAGTTTCTCCATTTGGGTAAAATAACAGTAACGCAATTTTTCTGGGTACCGTTGTACAAAACAACCCTAGCGCTACGACTGTCGTAAGTCTATGTTAAGGTGACCCGGGGTAGAACAGGTCTTCAGCAGCCCATGCTTGCTGTAAAAGGTGACTATGCTTGTCGTAAGAGGCGACTAACGGGATCGGGTGGTCAGGCTCGCTGACTTGGTTGATGCATGTCATCGATCCCATTTGCGTGGATCGATGCTCATGATATCAATCACTGGATTGTCTGGTCCAGACTCGATTATTTACAGACCGCCGTCATATAGCTGGAATATTGCTGAGTGCGGCGTTAAACAACAAACAAACAAACAAACAAACAAACAAACAAACAACGATCCTCCTTTGTCAGGCAGTTACAGCAAACCTCAGGCTCTTGCAAATGATATCGCCCTGACGAATAGCGTTACCCTTATAACATCTTATGGATTTTCCCTTCTCCCGGACAAGCAAAAAAAGACGTGTTGTAAAAATATAACGATAGGCAAATTTCACGAAAACAACAAACGTTTGAATCAAACTTGATATGTCCCTTTCATGGTGTCGTGTTCGTGTACGTACGGGCGTGGTGGCGAAGGGGACGAAGATGGCGAGGAGGAAGAGGCCGAGGAGGGGCCCGCCCGTCATCCCGAAGGAGCTTAGGGTTATCTGCAACATCGTCCCGCCCATCTTACCAGCGAGGAACGCCAGCCCGACCGTCAAGAGACCAAACAACAGTGCTGTGGAGAGGGAAAATAGAGAGTAGGGTTTATGTGAAGGTTTTAGCACTGTTCCGGCAATATCACTTCCGAGGCCCAAGTGCTTTACACGTCGGGGAATCAAAGCATGGGTCTTCCGCATGGAGAGCGAACGTTTCAACCCCTAGGCTTCACCGTCGTCCCTATCTGAGGCGGGCAGGGGCTAGAAATATCTGGTTCGTGTTTTGATTGCACTCATTTTCATTGGTTGATACATATAATTCATTTTGGAACAGTGCTCCACTGGTTTCCTTGACTCACATATTGTCTGGTTCAACATGCTACAGTAACTGAGGGAATCACGGTTGCCTTATGCCCCTTCAGTAATATTCCAGCTCTATCACAGCATCCTATAAATAATCTGGGCCTGGCAAACGGTAGGCTGATAACATGAGCAACGACACACGCCGTTCGGAATGATGACACGCAGTCAGCCATGTGTATCAATTGTAATCAACTGATCCAAGACTAGGGTCACCAGACTCCAATACAGGGCCCCGTTCCACAAAGCGATTGTAGAGCTACGACTGTGTTACGATTATCTTAGCGCTAAGATCGCTTTGTGGAACTGACCCTGTGCACTAGTTATAGGCTTAATACACAGGGAGTGAGTTTAACGTTGAATAGCATTTCTGTTACATCAGGCGTTTCAGCTTACTGTTGATGTTAGGCCATACATGATACATTTCTTAGACCTTTTCCACTTTGGTGAAACCCAGAAATATGTGAATGGTGCTGAAAAACAAGAATCCTTATCAGGTCAAATGTTTTGAATCACTTCTAGGGGACGCAACTGTGCGCAGCGAATTGTGGCGCCTTAGACAACTCGCTACCCGTGTCCCGAGTAGACCTATGCTCAATGTACACTACCAGGCCACTCACTCAGCACCTTGGAGATGACTGTTCCGAGCTTCTCTCGCATGGCGGTCCCTGTCAATGTCTTGTAGCAAGGCTTGATGATGTCCTCAAGATGGACCAAGGCTAGGGCGTTCACGCCAGACGACACTGTACTGCACAGCAGACGACATGGTCAACGTCATTCATAAACACAAAACAACAACGAATTATACTTAAGATCAAGGTGATCTTATATATGTATGTACCAGGCTCATCTTTAAGCCTTTCTTGACAACGGTATAAGGATATATACCGAAACGTCCCCATTACAGTAAATAAAGAAGTTGTTATCCATAAATTGTCTCTACTCTGTCATCCGTCAACTTCTAAGTAATGCCTATCAAACAATTGACCAAACATGAACGTAATTCCTCCATTTGGAGTACAGGTTAAAATGAAAGGACAAGGTCAATTCTTTGAGTTCAAGTATTGTAAGTATAAACATGTATGACAGATATAAAGCCAACTGCAGTAGATTAAGGCATTGATCCCAATGCTTAATGCATATAAAACGCTACATAAAACGTATGATACTGGTTATGGGGGCGTGGGGCTCAACGTCTCTTTTAACAGTATTTCAGTAACATATATCACCTCGTGTCAGCTTATTACAGGAGGAAAGGCCATAGTGACATATCCTAAACTTTAAGCTCTGGAAACCCACGAACACAGCTATGTCAGACAAGGATCACAATACGGGAGTAAAGATGGAATTGGAAATCAGGGGTCCTAGCAGTCAAAAAAGGCGTATTTATCACCCAAACCTTGCTTCCTAGGAGATATGGCTGCAATAAAATTGCATCACAATCCATTGCGGACCACTGTGACGTCATCCCCATGACACTACGATCTATAAACATCACTAATCCCTCTGCTACTAAGTGGTTAGCTGTACTTTATAGACACAAGACACTGCTTATTACTGATTAAACTGAAAAAGACTGATAAATGGAATGATTTGGACGGTAAATAGAATTTTATACTCGTGTCTTCAGATATGAAAAAAAACACTCGTCAATAAATGTTTAAAACTCCTCGGCAAGCAGCGCAGTTGAGACTTTTATGATTCTATAAATATACTTTGCAAAAACAAAGGGGATATTTTGTTTTCGGTTGAAACTACAGGAAAACACACCAATGTCTGGCAATGAAAACATGTGGCGAGAACATTTCCGAAGAATTTGAGCTCCCTAACACAACATTGAGACATGAAGCACGTGACCTCGGACAGCACGTGCAATGGGTGGTATTCCATATTTACCATTGTCACACAGACTAGTTGTGAGCAGATGAATTTTGTTTTCTTGAAACCAAATGCTCAAAGACACTTTATTAAATACATCCAATCATTAAGGAAGCAACAGTATTGATCATACAACGTTTGCAACGTGCTGAATGTTTACGTGACATAGGCATGTTGCAGTGACGTGCACTTCCGACGTCCATGACCGAAGGAAACGCGAGCTTGGAGACGTCCTAATGAGAGTTTTTTTATATGGACGTTAACGTCGTACAGCATGATTGTTTTGGGTCGGGTCCTTAATGGTATGGTGTGGTATCACAATGACCTGCCGAACTGCGCTCCATATTGTCCATGGCAGAGTTTACAGGTCAATACTATCGGGAAAACACCATTGCACTACTCGTGCTGCCATTTGCACAACGTGTTGGGCAACGTTTCATCTTTCAAGATGATAATGCACGTGCTCATCGTGATATAATTGTGACCCAATATCTCCAGCAGAAAAAAACACCAATGTTATGGCGCCCGTCACGCCGAAGAGCCGGGTTCGATTCCCGACATGGGGACAATGTGTGAAGCCCATTTCTGGTGTCCCCCGCCGTGATATTGCTGGAATATTGCTAAAAGCGGCGTAAAACCATACTCACTCACTCACTCACTCAATATTATGGCTAGCACTAAATCCTGACCTTTCCCCCATTGAACAAACCAGGGACGTCATTGGCACACGTGTACGTCAACGTCAAAATACACCCACCACTCGCAATGAACTCGGTGTTGCTCTCACTGATGAGTGGAACATGAGTTAAGCTGGCATTGGTCGACTCATCAGAAGCATGCCTCGCATGTCTGGTCAACAGTGGAGATTTTACCCGCTGTTAATGACATTGGCTGCAAAATGCATATTTCAAATTTGACCACCGACATCTTTAACGGCCTTGTGCACCACCATCTCATCACACCAACCATTAGAACATTAGAACCCATTAGATCTGATCGCCTACACCCCAGTAGATTTGCCAATACCATAAAGATCAGACGATATGTCTTGATGATTCCCACTATGCCATACTTTTCTGGCATAATATAAATTTTATGTACAGTAATGAAGCGTCTTCAGGTTAGACCGTGAGGTCAGTTGATGTGGACACAAATCAGGTTCTTACACCACCTAAGTCATGTATGTCACTCACCTGAGAGCAGCGCTGAACACACAGGAGATGAAGAGTCCTGCCAGGCCCGGGACCATGCCCAGGGTCTCCATCACCAGGAGGGGCACCAGCTGGAGTGACAGGGAGGTGGAGTTAGGGTTGGGGCACATAGGTGAGGTGAGCTGAGGTAAAATGGAGTTCAACGTGTGTGTGTGTGTGTGTGTGTGTGTGTGTGTGTGTGTGTGTGCGTGTGCGTGTGCGTGCGTGCGTATGTGTGTGTGGCTGCTTGTACTAGTCCGGACTGATGTCATATTGTGCTAGCCCAGTGAGATATCATACTGCAGTTTAACATGAATACCCCACTCAGATACTGTATACTGACTCCAAGTCGACCAGTCCTTGTATCAGCCCCTCAATGCCGAGCGCCAGGCAAGGTAACAACAAGTACCATCTTTTGACGTCTTTCGGTATGACGCGGCCGGGGATCAAACCCCGCTCTCCGGACGGACCTTCTACCACTGGACCACGGACACGGACCTGATCCACATATATATATATACTAGTTATATAACACTCACACGGTGTGGTGGCGACGAATCTAAAGTTGTTCATTTATATACAATAAAACCTTGTTAATCCGGACGAAACCGACGATAAATAAACAGCTATCTGGGATAACGAAATATGAAATAAATGCCTGGCAAAAGAAAGTATACACTTAAAAATTGGATTTGACCAAAGCATTACAAACGCTATGAAGACGTTAATAGGCTGTAATCAGTCCACGAAACACTGCAAATTAAAGGCCCAAAACATAACAATGATACCCATATCAATTACATCACCATCGAATAATTTTAGCCACCATCAAACATTTGAGTATACTTTTACATTTGTATAAATTCGTTCGCCAAAGGTGGTTTCCAAGGGTATAGATTAGCAAAGTTCCACTGTATTTTTGCATCCTACACGAAGATGTCTAAAACATGACCAGTTACATGACATTCCTTGTGTGGAGATATTACACTATCAAGTGAGTGAATGATTTAAGTTTAACACCGTTTTAAGCGGCATTTAGTTACATATTGCTGTGTCAGCTTAATGGGGAAGGGGGCAGGTCGCTGACGTGGACCACGTTCCTGAAACTGTTAACAAGGTCATGGCGCAGACAGACCAAGGATCATAATCGGGGCGAATCTTGGATTCGAACAACTATCAGAGCATCCTAACAACTAAGGGGCGTAACTCTGCACAGCGAGTTGGCCACTGGGCTTTTGACCACTGGTTCCCTATGGGTAAGTGATCTGACCATGTATCCTATACTTACGGCAATTGTGTCACTCTGCTTTCCTCTGAAAGGGGGCAGTCGGGTAGCCAAGTGGTTAAAGCGTTTGCTAGTCGATTCCCGACATGGGTACAATGTGTGAAGCCCCTGGTGTCCCCCACCGTGATATTGCTGGAATATTGCTAAAAGCGGCGTAAAACACCTCACTCACTCATCTTACAGAAAGATGTGGTTACAGGTTTGTATTCTATATTACTGACTGAAGGATTCCTGGGACGACAAACCTGGTCAAACTTGGTCATCTTGCCGGACTTGTAGGGGTCGCAGTCCTTGTACTTGGCATACGTCACCAGCCCCACCCCTGTCATCAACGTCGTCGCGATGATGTTGGAGGGCAGGTTGAAGTAGATGGTGCTGAAGTAGTGTAACGGATGTCATAATTATTGGTAAGAGAAATCAAGAATATCTGTTACAATTCACGTGACCTCCTTTGGCTCTTAAGAGCTAAACTCGGGTGATAAACAGCTGTTGATTGTCATAAAATGTTACCAATGACGGTAATAATATATCAGTTCCCTTTGTCGTGTCTGTAACTTTCTCTCTATCTTGCGACAAGCCATCTGTACACAGTCCGCCTTCTTATTTATGTCAAGAGTGTCACACTTCGAAAGGCGTGAGTTTCTCGAAACAGCACCTTTGCATGCTTGAGCTAAACATACTCCGTGCACTGGGTATCTAGGCCTACCCCTGTGTATGTCTGAGTATCTAGACCTACCCCCGTGCATGTCTGAGTATCTGGACCTACTCCTGTGTACGCCTGCGTATCTAGACCTACCCCTGCACATGCCTGAGTTTTTACACCAACCCCTGTGCATGTCTGAGTATCTAGGCCTACCCCTGTGCATGTCTGAGTATCTAGGCCTACCCCTGTGTATGTCTGAGTATCTAGGCCTACCCCTGTGCATGTCTGAGTATCTAGACCTACCCCTGTGTATGTCTGAGTATCTAGGCCTACCCCTGTGCATGTCTGAGTATCTAGGCCTACCCCCGTGCATGTCTGAGTATCTAGACCTACCCCTGTGCATGTCTGAGTATCTAGGCCTACCCCCGTGCAGGTCTGAGTATCTAGACCTACCCCTGTGTATGTCTGAGTATCTAGGCCTACCCCTGTGCATGTCTGAGTATCTAGGCCTACCCCCGTGCATGTCTGAGTATCTAGGCCTACCCCTGTGTATGTCTGAGTATCTAGGCCTACCCCTGTGCATGTCTGAGTATCTAGACCTACCCCTGTGTATGTCTGAGTATCTAGGCCTACCCCTGTGCATGTCTGAGTATCTAGGCCTACCCCCGTGCATGTCTGAGTATCTAGACCTACCCCTGTGCATGTCTGAGTATCTAGGCCTACCCCCGTGCATGTCTGAGTATCTAGGCCTACCCCTGTGCATGTCTGAGTATCTAGGCCTACCCCTGTGTATGTCTGAGTATCTAGGCCTACCCCTGTGCATGTCTGAGTATCTAGGCCTACCCCTGTGCATGTCTGAGTATCTAGACCTACCCCTGTGTATGTCTGAGTATCTAGGCCTACCCCTGTGCATGTCTGAGTATCTAGGCCTACCCCCGTGCATGTCTGAGTATCTAGACCTACCCCTGTGCATGTCTGAGTATCTAGGCCTACCCCCGTGCATGTCTGAGTATCTAGGCCTACCCCTGTGTATGTCTGAGTATCTAGGCCTACCCCTGTGTATGTCTGAGTATCTAGGCCTACCCCTGTGCATGTCTGAGTATCTAGGCCTACCCCCGTGCATGTCTGAGTATCTAGACCTACCCCTGTGCATGTCTGAGTATCTAGGCCTATCCCCGTGCATGTCTGAGTATATAGGCCTACCCCTGTGCATGTCTGAGTATCTAGGCCTACCCCTGTGTATGTCTGAGTATCTAGGCCTACCCCTGTGCATGTCTGAGTATCTAGGCCTACCCCTGTGCATGTCTGAGTATCTAGACCTACCCCTGTGTATGTCTGAGTATCTAGGCCTACCCCTGTGCATGTCTGAGTATCTAGGCCTACCCCCGTGCATGTCTGAGTATCTAGACCTACCCCTGTGCATGTCTGAGTATCTAGGCCTACCCCTGTGCATGTCTGAGTATCTAGGCCTACCCCTGTGCATGTCTGAGTATCTAGGCCTACCCCTGTGTATGTCTGAGTATCTAGGCCTACCCCTGTGCATGTCTGAGTATCTAGGCCTACCCCCGTGCATGTCTGAGTATCTAGGCCTACCCCTGTGCATGTCTGAGTATCTAGGCCTACCCCTGTGCATGTCTGAGTATCTAGGTCTACCCCTGTGTATGTCTGAGTATCTAGACCTACCCCTGTGTATGTCTGAGTATCTAGGCCTACCCCTGTGTATGTCTGAGTATCTAGGCCTACCCCTGTGCATGTCTGAGTATCTGGACCTACTCCTGTGTACGCCCGAGTATCTAGACCTACCCCCGTGCATGTCTGAGTATCTAGACCTACCCCTGTGTATGTCTGAGTATCTAGACCTACCCCTGTGTATGTCTGAGTATCTAGACCTACCCCTGTGTATGTCTGAGTATCTAGACCTACCCCTGTGTATGCATGAGTATCTAGACCTACCCCTGTACACGCCTGCGTATCTGGACCTACTCATGTGTACGCCTGCGTATCTAGACCTACCCCTGTGCATGTCTGAGTATCTAGACCTACCCCTGTGCACGCCCGAGTATCTAGACCTACCCCTGTGCACGCCCGAGTATCTAGACCTACCCCTGTGTATGTCTGAGTATCTAGACCTACCCCTGTGTATGTCTGAGTATCTAGACCTGCCCCTGTGTATGTCTGAGTATCTGGACCTACCCCTGTGTACGCCTGAGTATCTAGACCTACCCCTGTGTATGTCTGAGTATCTAGACCTACCCCTGTGCACGCCCGAGTATCTAGACCTACCCCTGTGTATGTCTGAGTATCTAGACCTACCCCTGTGTATGTCTGAGTATCTAGACCTGCCCCTGTGCATGCCTGAGTATCTTGACCTACCCCTGTGCATGCCTGAGTATCTAGACCTGCCCCTGTGTATGTCTGAGTATCTGGACCTGCCCCTGTGCATGCCTGAGTATCTAGACCTACCTCTGTGCACGCCTGAGTATCTAGACCTACCCCTGTGTATATCTGAGTATCTAGACCTACCCCTGCGCATGCCTGAGTATCTAGACCTACCCTTGGGCATGCCTGAGTTTCTTCACGGCAAGATAGCGCTGCACGAGGGCCTGGTTGATAGCGTAGATGCTGAGGGTCGTAATGGAACCTCCGAACACCAGAGACCAGAACGTGTGACGCTTCAGTGGGTCGGGATCAAAACTAGAAACATGAACAGCATTAACACAAGATGTACCTCTCCCGCGAAGCAGATATGAGAATGGTTTATTAAATGTTTCTCATTTCTCTAATTGTTTACGGCAGCGTCCATGACAACGTAGCGTATTCAACATCACGTGCCGAAAATAAATATGGTAATATGGTGCCACATATATTTGATCAAGAATTACCAAGATATTGCATAATTTATTTATTAAACCGATTCTTTCATATTACTTTAGTTAACCATTAACCCATCGTCCTAATTTAAATTGTCCTTGAAAATCCTTGACAAGCATTATTATGCCCCTTGAAAAAAATGAAATTGCCTGCCACAAAAATTACATTGTTGGAAGTTATTAAAATAATTCAGGTTCCATTGTCTGAATTCACACTAGTTACCAAGTCTAACGGGTTCACAGACTTAAATGAGTGAGTGAGTTGGGTTTAACGCCGCTTTTAACAGTTTTCGAGTTATATCACGGCGTGTCAGCTTAATGTGGGAGTAAAGCCCGAAGTGATGCAGGTCTCAGACGTTACCAATTCGGTGAAACGGGTACGAGCACGAGTATGGTGCTGACAAACCTAGAAACATAATCGGGGCGAACTGGGATTCGACCACACAATCATAAGTTTCTGGCGTGCCCAAGGGACGCAACTCTGCACAGCGCCTTAGACGACTGGGCCACCCGTGCCCCCACAGAAAGAAATACAAGAAATACAAATCATCAGAGCAGTACGTGCTGTTTCCACGTGTCTTATATCAAAATACACTGGCACTTATACATTTATATACTCATTTTCCGGGCTGCTTATATAATCTGCATGCAAATTCTTATCATTTGTGATACATTCATAGCACCCATTATAAATTCTACACTGAAATGACACAGACAGCTATGAGTTTTCAAGTCTTTAGTGGATCATTCTCTTGTTCAGATGTAACAAGATGTCTGCGTGCATGTTTCTTACTCAAATACATTTTCCAATCTCCCGCCTTCGGAAGCTTTCTGCCAGACCGCCCTTGCCCCTCCCACTTCTATTGTTCCCTTGATGATCAGCGCGAGTATACCGGATATGACGATAACTATCTGGAAAACGTCTGTCCACACGACTGCTTTCAAACCTCCCTATAAATTACAAATAGTTACATAATACATTATATTCCAAACAATACAAACTTATCAAAGCAAATATTTAATAATAATATATTATTTACAATAAAAAAGGTAAACATATTCAATCAAATTAAGTGTAATAAAGACAACTCTGTGGTTCGATTCTGAAAGAGTTGTCATGAATTTAGTGAAACCCACGGCCATGTTACTTACCAGTGTGGTGTATATAGTGCAGACGCCACCGATCGCTAGTATAGATACAAGCATGGACATACCGCTCACTGTGGTGGATGAAAAAGACATAAAAATTATATGAACCCTTGAAGCCCATCGCAGATAAAGATCACATTGCGAAGTTGGAAGTTGAATATGATATCCCAATATGAACTGCCGGCCAAATGAAAGTATTCACTTGAAAATTGGATTGGACAAAAATATTACAAACGTTATGAACAGGTCGCAAGGCTGAAAACAGTTGCCGAAACACTGCAAACTCCAAAACACAACCATGCCACCCTATCAAATACATCATCAAACATGGGGGTATACTTCTTGTTGCCTGGCAGTTTATATTGGGATATAATAATAATTATACAACTTGCAAATGAAACCTATTGACCTGTCCTAGAAGTGAAAGTTAACTTAAGCGCAATCCTATCGCGAACATCTAAAATTAGATTCACCAATTAGATTTTGTCCGCCTACCAAAATAATAAACATGACGCAACGTAAGTATGACCAAGAACTAGTTAATAGGAGAAGACACCTGTGAAGATCTGGGTTAGAATAGGTCTTCAGCAACCCATACTTGCCGCAACAGGCGAGTATACTTGTCGTAAGAGGCGACCAACGAGATCGGATGGTCAGGCTCGCTGACATGGTTGATGCATGTCATCGTTTCCCAATTGCGTGGATCGATGCTCATGATATCGACCACTGGATTGTATGGTCCAGGCTCGACTATTAACAGACCGCCGTCATTTAGCTGGAATATTGCTGAGTGAGGCGTTAACACAACAGACAGACAATATGAGAAGGACCTTTTCGCAGTGTCATTACGATCTGTGTTGGGAGTGGACATTTTGAATGTGTGTACCAAAAGACTTTGAAGGTGGAGTTTAATGAAACAGACTTTAGGTAAGTAAACTTACATGAATAAATCAAGTGTGAAGACAAAACATTTTTCGTACCATTATTGGTTGAATTCCAACAAATACAGGTGCTCAATTATTCTTTTTTAAATAAGTAGAAATTGCGAACCGTATTCCTTATTCTTTAGAAGGACTCATTAGTGACAGTTGGTTGACACACACACTCCAAACCCCATTTTATGTAACATCATTTAATAGCCCCCATAATACCAAATACCCCGACCGCCTTCGTGGTTTAATGGTAGAGCGTCCGCCCGGAGAGCGGAAGGTCCGGGGTTCGATCCCCAGCCGCGTCATACCAATAGACGTTAAAAGATGGTACTTGTTGTTACCCTGTCTGGCGTTCGGCATTAAGGGGCTAAAACAAGGACTGGTCGGCTCGGAGTCAGTATACTGTGTCTGAGTGGGGTATTCATGTTAAACTGTGGCATGGTATCTCAGTGTGCTGGCACTATAAATCGGCATCAGTCTGGACTAGTACAAGCAGCCACACACACACACATACACGTGCATGCACGTCGCTATATAAGTGCAAATATCTTGGACGCTACGTTAAACTCCATTTCACCTCACCTCACCTCACCTCACCTCACCAAATATCCCCCACCCCCTCCTTAATAATAAATTACCAGTCCCTTATTTATTTTCTTTAAGTGCGAAAATATGTAAAAGGAAATCAGTAAAACATAAGTTTTATTATTTATTAGAGTAAATCCAGGCCCCAACCTCCTAACCCTTAAAATCAAATGGTTTCTCCCTAATTGAGCAAAAGAATGTTTACACACTGTAATGCTATTTTTTTTATTGAAATCTATTGCTGCTTTTTTTTGACCGACTCACATTTAAATACCACGGCATTTCGCTCGCTTATCACAAAGGTACGGCCTGCGAACGGAGATAGGTCTATCAAATGACAAAGACTTCACAGATTCTTCGATATCTTTCAGATAAGGACATGTTGGAGCAATCAAACACAGCTTACCCAACATTTTATCAAGAATTAGGTTATCGATCCGATCTTGAGGAACACGTAAAGTAGAAATGCCACTTACAACATCAAACAAAACACAACTCAGATAGGCGCATGACTTATTAACATGACCCGAAAGGTGTAGCTGATTTGGTGTATCTTATTCCCCTATATAGGGCCTCCCTCCACCTGGCGTGAAACATCATATTCTATTATCAGCCCCAGTGCTTTAAAGGGGCCCAATTTGGGTTAGTAATGAGGCATAGCGACAGGTTACTGGCAGATGATAAGCGGGACAGAAACAGCACAAGTCGACATCCTGCTTCAGAAAGATACGGAGGACGAAATCAGCTTACTTATTCCTTTCATTTCAGCTAAGAGTAAAATTTTTGAATGGCCATCTGTTTTACACCTTGGCACTCATGGGTTCCGTCGTATATAAAAAATCTTACAAAATAAGGGTAATTAGATTCACCAATGACGTCATTAGCGAATATCTGCGTTCTGTGGCATTGTTAGGATCATTTGAGTGTAGGTACTCACCCAAGGAGATGGTTAATAACGCGGCTTCTTTTAGCAAGCTGCAGGAATACGTACTGAAGCTATCGTATTTAAATACATATATTCAAGTGTTGCATGAAGCCATAGACATTGTCAATCAAAACTGATGGATTAGTTCAGTCGTAAAACATTAAACTTTTCTATTTTGTTCCGATTGTGTTAATGAAACATGACGGGAAGTCGTTCATGACGTCTCGTAAAGAATATTGGCGAATCTAAACAAAATTCAAAGCGAACTCTTTGGGTTAGTGGAGGCGGTGAAACGGCATGCAGAGCTCCAGATAAGCTTTTGGTGTTGTGGGTATTTTACCCATGCATTTTAAAATCATTGGGTATCAGTAATTCTATCTGGGTATTCAAATTTCTGTTACCCACTAGTTTTTACACATGTGGGTATTTAAGTTAAATATTTAAAAACACTATTCATCTAGGCCCAGCAAACTGGTGTCGTGTGGGTTCGAGAGCTTTATAGGACTCAAAAATACCACGATACTTCCACAAGAAAGTGTGATGGCAAATGATCCATGATGTAACTGTCATCGTGGAGTTTGGCAAGGTTGACGGAATGCCCGTTTATAATTTCAAAATATGTTGCTGATTTGCTAATCATATACGCAGGGTTTCTTCACAATATTTTGATGATACGCACAAGTTTTATTTTTGTAGCGTATCTGTAATGTTCGTTGCGTATTTGATACGCTTGGATTTTATTTTACTGCGTATTTCTGCATTTCTGATGCGTATTTTACGCAGATACGCAGCTTATCTGGAGCTCTGGGCGTGGGTTGGTTCCAATGTCTGGAGTGGGTTGTGAATCTGAATAAAGGAAACACCGATAAAAACCTTTAAGCGATGTGGCCAAACATTGTCTTTGTTACATTACCACACAAGCTGTTTCCATCAGAGGTGGTTGTTGTGGTTTGAAACCTCTGACTGACCAATCAGAATTTAGTATAATTGTTAAAAGTCATGGTAAACTGGTTACCCCTTTACGTAGTCGCTACGCATGTTACAAAAGGCCTACTGTAACAGAGTGACGTATTAGGGACCAGCAATTTGATATCCGAGGAATGGGGTGGGGTTTAGGTGGGGGTGGTTGTGGGCTTAGGCTGGGGCTGGGGCTGGGATTTTATCGAAAACAGTTAAATTGTTTCCGACAATTCATGAAAAAAATAATTAGGCTTCAAACCGTTGAAAAAAAGAGAGACATTGTTACATTATAAGAAAGTTACAAAATTGAAATTGAGGCTCATAGTTTAAATTAATAAAATATCTGTTTTGTAGATCAGCTGAAGCTGAAAAATATCTATTATCTCCATACAAAATCAAACCTCCGCCTATCAAGGTTGGTTGGTTGGTTTGTTGTTTAACGGCGCACCCAGCAATATTCCAGCTGTGTGACGGCGGTCTGTAAATACTCGAGTCTGGACCAGACAATCAAGTGGTAAATATCATGACCGCCTATCAAGGCCTTGGAATGTGTTATGGAGGTTTCCGTTCAGCCTTAAAAGAGTGAATTCTGACATGCGCGCGCGTGTGAGTGTGTTTGTGCGCGTGCGTACGTGCGTGCGTGTGTATGTGTGTGTTGAGGGCTGACTCTCCCCACGACGCAAAAACAGTTTGTTACCGTGAAACTATGTCAAAACATTTTCCCTGACATTCCTAACATTGTAGGGATGGTGTTTGTGACGTATTGCATAAAATCAATTTCACACACGTACCTTGACTGAAGACGAGGGCAGGGGCATAGAAAACAACAGCCATGTACACCATCTGCAGGACGAGACATTGACATGATATCATAACATAGCATATTACATATCAGATACCATTGGCATGTAAATCTCTGTATGTTACAGGTGCGAGAGTATGTGACATAATTAAATAATTATACCATTAACGTACTGTTGCTTAACAATCATTAAATACCAGGTGTAATTACGTGTCGCACATTACAAAGTATGGAAGCATATGTGTGCCACAGCGATACTTTCATCTGTGTAGATGATACTTACATCTACGTAGATGATACTTTCATCTACGTAGAAGATACTTTCATCTGTGTAGATGATACTTACATCTACGTAGAAGATACTTTCATCTACGTAGAAGATACTTTCATCTACGTAGATGATACTTTCATCTACGTAGAAGATACTTTCATCTACGTAGAAGATACTTTCATCTACGTAGAAGATACTTTCATCTGTGTAGATGATACTTACATCTACGTAGAAGATACTTTCATCTGTGTAGATGATACTTTCATCTGTGTAGATGATACTTACATCTACGTAGAAGATACTTTCATCTGTGTAGATGATACTTTCATCTGTGTAGATGATACTTACATTTGTGTAGATGATACTTACATCTACGTAGAAGATACTTTCATCTACGTAGAAGATACTTACATCTACGTAGAAGATACTTTCATCTGCGTAGATGATACTTTCATCTGTGTAGATGATACTTTCATCTGTGTAGATGATACTTACATCTACGTAGAAGAACTTACATCTGTGTAGATGATACTATCATCTGTGTAGATGATACTTACATCTACGTAGAAGATACTTTCATCTATGTAGATGATACTTTCATCTACGAAGATGATACTTACATCTGTGTAGATGATACTTACATCTACGTAGAAGATACTTTCATCTACGTAGAAGATACTTTCATCTATGTAGATGATACTTTCATCTGTGGAGAAGATACTTTCATCTACGTAGAAGATACTTTCATCTGTGTAGATGATACTTACATCTGTGTAGATTATACTTACATCTACGTAGAAGATACTTTCATCTACGTAGAAGATACTTTCATCTGTGTAGATGATACTTACATCTACGTAGAAGATACTTTCATCTACGTAGAAGATACTTTCATCTGTGTAGATGTTACCCACATCTACGTAGAATATACTTTCATCTGTGTAGATGATACTTACATCTACGTAGAAGATACTTTCATCTGTGTAGATGATACTTACATCTGTGTAGATGATACTTACATCTACGTAGAAGATACTTTCATCTATGTAGATGATACTTTCATCTGTGTAGATGATACTTACATCTGTGTAGATGATACTTACATCTACGTAGAAGATACTTTTATCTTTGTAGATGATACTTTCATCTGTGTAGATGATACTTACATCTACGTAGAAGAAACTTTCATCTACGTAGATGATACTTTCATCTGTGTAGATGATACTTACATCTACGTAGAAGATACTTTCATCTACGTAGAAGATACTTTCATCTGTGTAGATGATACTTACATCTACGTAGAAGATACTTCCATCTACGAAGATGATACAAGTATCTACGTAGAAGATACTTTCATCTACGTAGATGATACTTTCATCTACGCAGATGATACTTTCATCTACGTAGAAGATACTTTCATCTACGTAGAAGATACTTTCATCTGTGTAGATGATACTTACATCTGCGTAGATGATACTTTCATCTACGTAGATGATACTTTCATCTACGTAGATGATACTTTCATCTACGTAGAAGATACTTTCATCTACGTAGAAGATACTTTCATCTGTGTAGATGATACTTACATCTACGTAGAAGATACTTTCATCTACGTAGAAGATACTTTCATCTGTGTAGATGATACTTCCATCTACGTAGAAGATACTTCCATCTACGAAGATGATACAAGTATCTACGTAGAAGATACTTTCATATACGTAGATGATACTTTCATCTACGTAGAAGATACTTTCATCTACGTAGAAGATACTTTCATCTGTGTAGATGATACTTACATCTGCGTAGATGATACTTTCATCTATGTAGATGATACTTCCATCTACGAAGATGATACAAGTATCTACGTAGAAGATACTTTCATCTACGTAGATGATACTTTCATCTACGCAGATGATACTTTCATCTACGTAGAAGATACTTTCATCTACGTAGAAGATACTTTCATCTGTGTAGATGATACTTACATCTGCGTAGATGATACTTTCATCTACGTAGATGATACTTTCATCTACGTAGATGATACTTTCATCTACGTAGAAGATACTTTCATCTGTGTAGATGATACTTACATCTACGTAGAAGATACTTTCATCTACGTAGAAGATACTTTCATCTGTGTAGATGATACTTCCATCTACGTAGAAGATACTTCCATCTACGAAGATGATACAAGTATCTACGTAGAAGATACTTTCATATACGTAGATGATACTTTCATCTACGTAGAAGATACTTTCATCTACGTAGAAGATACTTCCATCTACGAAGATGATACAAGTATCTACGTAGAAGATACTTTCATCTACGTAGATGATACTTTCATCTACGCAGATGATACTTTCATCTACGTAGAAGATACTTTCATCTACGTAGAAGATACTTTCATCTGTGTAGATGATACTTACATCTGCGTAGATGATACTTTCATCTACGTAGATGATACTTTCATCTACGTAGATGATACTTTCATCTACGTAGAAGATACTTTCATCTACGTAGAAGATACTTTCATCTGTGTAGATGATACTTACATCTACGTAGAAGATACTTTCATCTACGTAGAAGATACTTTCATCTGTGTAGATGATACTTCCATCTACGTAGAAGATACTTCCATCTACGAAGATGATACAAGTATCTACGTAGAAGATACTTTCATATACGTAGATGATACTTTCATCTACGTAGAAGATACTTTCATCTACGTAGAAGATACTTTCATCTGTGTAGATGATACTTACATCTACATAGAAGATACTTTCATCTGTGTAGATGATACTTACATCTGCGTAGATGATACTTTCATCTATGTAGATGATACTTCCATCTACGAAGATGATACAAGTATCTACGTAGAAGATACTTTCATCTACGTAGATGATACTTTCATCTACGCAGATGATACTTTCATCTACGTAGAAGATACTTTCATCTACGTAGAAGATACTTTCATCTGTGTAGATGATACTTACATCTGCGTAGATGATACTTTCATCTACGTAGATGATACTTTCATCTACGTAGATGATACTTTCATCTACGTAGAAGATACTTTCATCTACGTAGAAGATACTTTCATCTGTGTAGATGATACTTACATCTACGTAGAAGATACTTTCATCTACGTAGAAGATACTTTCATCTGTGTAGATGATACTTCCATCTACGTAGAAGATACTTCCATCTACGAAGATGATACAAGTATCTACGTAGAAGATACTTTCATATACGTAGATGATACTCTCATCTACGTAGAAGATACTTTCATCTACGTAGAAGATACTTCCATCTACGAAGATGATACAATTATCTACGTAGAAGATACTTTCATCTACGTAGATGATACTTTCATCTACGTAGAAGATACTTCCATCTACGTAGATGATACAATAATCTACGTTGATGACGCTTCCGTCTCGCTGCACTGGAAGACTGCCGAGTGGGACACTGTGCTGTTTATCTCACAGCAGGACCAGGAATAACTCGTCTCTGTCTGGAATTTTAGTAATACAGGTTGCTAAATTTGACAACTGGTAATCCGTGTCTGTGTAATGAGTGAATTAGCTTCCAGCATCACTGTGTGCGCCGCATTATAAATTTGTGCATGCACATCTGAGGGGGTGTCAAAGATGAGTTTAACTCGTCATAGCAGTTGCTGAGTGGTCTGCCCAGAGGCGCCATTGTCGCAATCTTTGTACTTGTATTAACGACTATCGCCCGGTTCTCATGTGATTAAATTTGAATATTCCACTTGATTAGCCGCAACAATGACACCTTCATCTTCTGATATCACAATGTATATCTTTATTGGAATTTTAATCCGTTAATCCAAACCATGTGACGAAACAATCATGTTCAAGCCGACATAACAGAAAACTGACCCGCAAAGGTTTGATAGAATCACGTGACTTTCACTGACCTCGAATATTGACTCGTCACATGATCACAATTTACCTGATATATATACGTCAATATTGACTTCAATTTGTCCGTCTGCGAGTGGCAATGCTGAATTCACCGATCTTTCTGACAGAATTGTAATTGCAATAGAACAAAAGACTGCCAAAAAAGTGAAATTAAACACTTTATAATTAATTTCGATATAACAAATCCATTGATTAACCTCGAACCCGATACCTTCGGTGGTCCGATTGCGTGTGGCTGCGTTTGGCTGCGTGTGGCTGCGCGTGGCTGTGTGTGACTGCGTGTGGCTTCGTGTGACTGTGTGTGACTGCGTGTGACTACGTGTGACATGTGACTGCGTGTGACTGTGTGGCTGCGTGAGACTGTGTGTGACTGCGTGTGACTGTGTGGCTGCGTGAGACTGTGTGTGGCTACGTGTGACTGTGTGTGACTGTGTGACTGCGTGTGAGTGTGTGTGGCTGCGTGAGACTGTGTGTGGCTACGTGTGACTGTGTGTGGCTACGTGTGGCTGCGCGTGGCTACGTGTGGCTGTGTGTGGCTACGTGTGACTGTGTGTGGCTACGTGTGACTGTGTGTGGCTACGTGTGACTGTGTGTGGCTACGTGTGACTGTGTGTGGCTACGTGTGGCTGTGTGTGGCTACGTGTGACTGTGTGTGGCTACGTGTGACTGTGTGTGGCTACGTGTGACTGTGTGTGGCTACGTGTGGCTGTGTGTGGCTACGTGTGACTGTGTGTGGCTACGTGTGGCTGTGTGTGGCTACGTGTGACTGTGTGTGGCTACGTGTGGCTGTGTGTGGCTACGTGTGACTGTGTGTGGCTACGTGTGACTGTGTGTGGCTACGTGTGGCTGCGCGTGGCTACGTGTGGCTGCGCGTGGCTACGTGTGACTAAATGTGGCTACGTGTGACTGCGTGTGAGTGTGTGTGGCTGCGTGAGACTGTGTGTGGCTGCGTGTGACTGTGTGTGGCTACGTGTGGCTGCGCGTGGCTACGTGTGACTGTGTGTGGCTACGTGTGACTGTGTGTGGCTACGTGTGACTGTGTGTGGCTACGTGTGACTGTGTGTGGCTACGTGTGACTGTGTGTGACTGCGTGTGAGTGTGTGTGGCTACGTGTGACTGTGTGTGGCTACGTGTGACTGTGTGTGGCTACGTGTGGCTGCGCATGGCTACGTGTGACTGTGTGTGGCTACGTGTGAGTGTGTGTGGCTACGTGTGACTGTGTGTGGCTACGTGTGACTGTGTGTGGCTACGTGTGGCTGCGCATGGCTACGTGTGACTGTGTGTGGCTACGTGTGGCTGCGCGTGGCTACGTGTGACTGTGTGTGGCTACGTGTGACTGTGTGACTGCGTGTGAGTGTGTGTGGCTGCGTGAGACTGTGTGTGGCTACGTGTGACTGCGTGTGACTTACCATTTGCAATGTGAACACCAAGCAGCCCATCACCCTTACGCTGTAGTTGAACCTGAGTTCTAAGTACTGAAACAGAAGAATGAAAGGTATCACCAATCATAAGCATTCATACATTATTTATACATCGATATACTGTACTGGACAAATATCTCTCAGCATGGGGCATGGGTGGCCATGAAGTCGTCGCCACAATTCGCCCGAGCAGGGTTGCGTCCCTTGGGCATGTCAGCATCCTATGACCGCGGGACTGGAATCTCAGACTCGCCTTGTTTTTTGTAGCACTGGTTTCACGGCTAAACGTGTTAGACGTGCATCACATGCTGTTTCTTCTCCCCCTGATCGAAATACTGTTCAAATTGTAATACTGCATCTTAGAGAGAGTGAGTGAGTGAACAATGATATATGCCACAGATCAGCAATGACACGTAAATAATGGAATACTAAAGGACCAGATAAATACCACAACCCACGCCATTAGGGTACGCTGTCCAACATTGAAACCATCCAATTATAATTTTATTCGGCTCTGGCAACAGACGTGGAGTATGACTAATCCCCACTGGGGAAATACACAGCCTCGGAATCCCCTAGGGGACACAAGTAAGGGACGTAACTCTGCACAGCAAATTGTGGTACTTGACATGATCGTGCCCCTCGAATTAAGAAATAAGATTACATAGAGGGTTGTGTTCTCTTCGCGCACATCCACGAACTGACAAGCTGTTTTCACATAAAACATAATATTTTGGGGAGATGTTGAACTAGAAATGATAACTGCCAAGCTTGATGCAGGATCGCGACTCTCCTGGCGTTACTGTTACGCCGTCTAGCCATAACATCGGGCGTCCTTCACCTTCTATATAAGTGTTCTCTAAAGGTTTGGCGCCACTGTTATACGCCGTGATGATATCAGTCACTGGTTGTCTGGTCTAGACTCGATTATTTACAGTCCACCATAAAAAGCTGGACTATTGCTGAGTTCGGCGGTAAACAGTATAACTTTACATATTTGTGCAATGTGGCTGTGCATTTGTGCATTTACATAAACACAATTACTGTGGGCAGACAGTATACATGTACATTGTATTATTTGGTAAATGTTCCAGTGAATGACATACAGGCGCTATATTACGTTTGTTGAAAATGGGGTTAACCGGCCTACACAATAAAATCTTTGCATTCTCTTTCTTTAATGAAGTACGGTCATTTAAACGGGTTATCAAATCTCCACCACAAGGAGGAGAAAGAATAAGTCAACTTCAGCCTAACCTAATTATAACAGTCGAAAGGCTTAACTTTTACAGCAGACATTTTCTTGGAAGCCAGACAAAAAGCGCAAGTTGATATGAGGAGGTTGAAAGTCATTTAGTTTTGCATTCTGCAGACTGTCATCATTTCGTTTTGCAATTGTTTAATAAAAATTCCCAACTAGGACGTTTCATGATTTGTACTCATGAAATGCAGTCACGAATGAGTGAGTGAGTGAGAAATACCAGTTAGGCCAGTATGACACATTGCTATTGGTTGGTACATTGTGAGACAAGTCTTCGTGGTTCTGTTCTTACTCATCTAAATACTAGTATCATCATTTGGATCGGCGGGGTAGCCTAGTGGTTGAAGCGTTCGTCCGTCGCACCCAAGCCCATTGTGTGAAGCCCATTTCTGGTATATCAATGGCGTGATATTCCTGGAATATTGCGGGAAATGGCGTAAATTGAGAGAGTTAGTTTGAAGTCTGCCGTCTACTTGAGAGACAAAAGACCAAGTAGTAACAACAAGCGACTCCTGCTACTATAAAGTACACGCCATGCTGCCTGCACTGATCAGCACTGGCGATTTCAGTCGCTGCTGTTTGTCTACACACATTCTGTATAGACTGTTTGGCCTATATTCTGCTTCCCCGTCCCGTATTTGCTATTTTATATTTTTTTTATCGTTTCATTATCTTCTTGGATAACCCTTTTTTATCGTAAGATTCAAATTTACCCAACGAATCACTTCTACAATCAGTCCATCCCACATATACAATTCCACCCCATAATTCTACCCTCAGTCCCACACTTACATCCTCACCCCCACAAATACGCCCTCACCCCACACTTACACCCCCACCCCCACACTTACACACTCACCCCCACACTTAAACCCTCACCCCCCACATACAACCCCGTCCCTACACTTACACCCTCACCCCACACATACAGCCCCGTCCCCAAACTTACACCCTCACCCCACATTTAGACCCTCAACCCACACATACAACGCCGCAGAACCTAGTTCGATTCCATGTGCATAATATGTGAAACCCACTGATGACGAAATAGTTCTTAAAAACGGCGTACTCCCTCATATACTTAACGTCCCAAATACCATTACATCCCCGTTGCATCACGGGAACTCAATACAAGGCCTCAAATATCCCATTTACAAATCATGGTTAATTCATCATTTTCCCAAGTAGCACCTGACCGAGGGACACTAAATAATCTACATCGTAGTATTGATTTGTATCAGACTGATACAAACGTCACCGATAAAAGCATTAATAGCCGTACGGAGAACAGCATTAAACTGCCCTTGGGGACCACGTGTGTAAAATCAACATTGAAACATCTGTGAGCTGTGTATCCAACCGACGACAAATCGTAATGAAACCGTTACACTCCCACCGGTGCAATCAAATAAGTCTTGTACAATTTGCAGCAAGCCAGGACACGGAAACCGCCATTTTAATCCATTCTGAGGCAGAATGGTTGCAGATGGCGACGAATGATTTACTGTCAAATAGCCAGAAGCAAACACAATGTCGGTAAACAAATCGGCGACGCACCTGCAAAGCTCTGTTTGTTTCGGCTGATGAATTGTATAATCGACATAATGAATACTACTCTTATCTACGGTCATCACTGCCCACTGCATTTATATAACTCAATTGCACTTTAAACAGTGCTCAAGTACCAGTCTCCTGTTGTATATTTACGAAACACTCCTGTTGAAAATTAACGAAACACTCCTGTGATTGCTTTGTTATAAATGGACTTGGTCCAACTGATTATTAAAACACTATTTATCTTGTTACAGTGGTTATGTGGTTAAGTATCGGGTTTGTTCCTTAACAAAAGGCACGGTTTAAGTCTCTACACAGGACAAATTATTATGCTACATCGTTTTTACCACACAATAATAGTAAAATCGATGTAGTATAATAATTTGTCCTGTGTAGAGACTTTAACCTTGGAACCATTTGCCCGATGACGTTAGTAAAGCAGACACTGATGGTGAATATAAGAGATTTTTAAAACAGAATAAAAATATAAGTTTGTATATTGTTCTAAATTTTGGAAGTAGATTTTACATTCTCGCCTCAGACTTGGTTGTAGTGATCTAAATGCCTGTCGATATGAAAGACACATTTCTGACAATGCAGCTTGTTATTGTGGATACATGTATGAAATGAGTGAGTATGGTTTTACGCCGCTTTTAGCAATATTCCAGCAATATCACGGCGAGGGACACCAGAAATGGGCTTCACACATTGTACCCATGTCGGGAATCGAACCCGGGTCTTCGGCGCTACCCGACCGCCCCTACATATATGAAAATGTATCACGCTATTTCTTTTCATATCCCTTTTATAATGATGTAAGAAATGATTCATTCTTCTTTTCTGAGGGAGTTGATCTTAACACTTTATTGAATGGTAATGCTAATTTTACAAAAAATGCTAATCTAGTTACGAGGGGCGTTCAATAAGTTTTGGAACTTCAATATAAGAACAAGTCGCAGAATATCTTTTTCACTTTTATTTTTCAATTTTATCTCCATTCACCTCAATACACTTATTCCATTCGTCCTTCAAGCTTTTAATACCACTTTTATAGAAATCCGCAGATTGGCCCTCTAACCATGCCTCCGTGGCAGCCTTTATGTCCCGGTCATCCTGGAAGCGTCTTCCACGTAAGGGAGATTTCATTTGCCGGAACAGGAAATACTCACTGGGGGCTAAGTCTGAGATGTAGGGTGGGTGATTTAACTGTTCGAATCCACATTCCCATATGGCGGCCTGTGCAATTCTCGACTTGTGAACCGAAGCGTTGTCATGCAAAAGTAGAATACCACGTGTTATCATCCCACGGCGTTTCTGGCGAATAGATTTTCGCAATTATTTCATTACATTAGCATAATACTGACCATTGATTGTAGTTTTGGGGGGCATGTAATCAATCAGTAATATGCCTCTGGCATCCCAAAATGGTGGCCATTACCTTGCAAGCCGATGGTTGAGTGCGAAACTTCCTCGGAGGCGGAGAATTGGAGGACTTCCATTGCATGGATTCCAACGTAGTTTCTGGGTCCCAGTGGAGGATCAATGTTCCATCACCTGTCACTAGACGAGAAAGAAATCCGGCTTCATCAGCAGTATAGAGATCCAGGGGGTCTCGACAACTTTCAGTTCTCTGATGGCGATCTTGAGCTCTGAGGTTTCCAGGTACCCATCTTGCAGATACCTTGGACATACCATGAATAATGGTTCCAACTGATATTTCGAATTCCCTAGAAAGTTCAGATACTTTCACTCGTCGGTCAGACAAAATTCTTCTTTCTATAGCAGCAATGGTTTTCGGTTGGGTGGCATCTGAAGGCCTGTCTGACCTTGGGTCATCGTCTATGGACTCCCTACCTCTTTTAAACTGTAGAGACCAACGGCGAACTGTGGAATAGTCAGGAGCATCCTTACCCACCACTTTACACATGCGATCATAGATTTCTTTTGCGTTGGATCCCTCCTTGGTAAGGAACTTTTTTACACCGCGGTGTTCATGTTTGAGAGAATCCATGATTGTGACCACCCTTAGGTGAATGAAGCAATCACATCTAACGTATTGTTGTGTCTGGAACTTGTTATGACAACCTGATGCTATGACTAGTGTCACACCTGACACAAGTTGACATTGTTTGTGTAAACACAAATGCCCAAGTTGCAAAACCTATTGATCGCCCCTCGTATATTAAAATCAGTACATTCATACCAACTTCATTTAAAAAGGTTTAAGCTAACGTGAGAC